ACACATCAGGTGATGTGGATCTTCTCTTGGTTTCCACTCAATCGCTAAACAAAGAATTGAGGACATCACATGGAATGTGTTTTCTAATCATGCAACCACGACATATTTAACATGGGGTATTCCGAACGACAGTTACGGGTTTAATGATTATATCCATTCAATCTAGGCCATCTATAAGCCATTCCAGAATGTTCTTCTTATCATTTTTTTTTTTTTTTAATCGAGAATACGTCAAAATATGTTTCGAAGCGTAGTCGCCAGTTTGAAACTAGTGTCGTAAACCTCGAGAAAGTTGCCTTCTGATTGGCTAATGTCGATTCTTGTCAGTCATTTCATTGGTCGGTCAAAATTCGCGAAAGGTCGTCCTGACGTGACCCGCAATGGGATGTCCTCAGATCTTTGTTTAGCGGTAGCGAAAACTAAGATCTGATTTTAATGAGATTCATTATGCGAGCTCAGCCTATGTTACCGCTTATATATGAAAACCAAGCCTCCCTTTCAGACAGGTTATAAATAGATTCATTGTTTAAGGCTCATAGTGACGTCAACAACCCCTGTCACAGGAAGTAAAAAAACCTGGGCTTTACACCTACCTCATATAATCCTTTTATTACAAATCCTATATGAACAAGTAATGTTTTCATATATTTCCCATTTCCACATATCTCAATTTATCAAAATAATACCAAAATATAACCCATCCATGTACTGTAGAGAACATGTTTATTGAAGTCACGTGACCTAAACATATTCTCTCACAGGGTAGAAGTCATTCACAAAAATATGGGTTCCATCTATCTTAAGGGGAGGAGGGGCCAATCCCTATGTTTTCTGCAATCACTGATCACTAAGCTTCCTATATCCAACTTAAAACAGGAGAAGCTACAACTGTAAACATGATTTTAATTGGATAAAAGACAGTCCCCAGTTTCCCCCTCGAAGTGACCAAGAAGTCCCACACAGAGCGGCCAGAAACATAAATAAATCTGGCACCTTACTGATAGCATCACATTCTAATGATAGATATGTTACTTTAGGGCAGCTTCACGCCGATTGTTTAAATTTGTGTTGACTGATATGTCATTGAGGGTCTAATTTGTGTGTCTGGGGTCTAAACTGATTACTTACAGGTTGTGGTGTTTGACATTTGGTTCTTTCCGTCTTAAAGGGGAAGTGTACACGCAAAAATCATTTTCTTTCTTTTTCTAAACAAAACGCAATTTTAGAATTAATTAGTATCTGTGTTTGAAAATATACACTCATTTTTTTCACAGTGAACGTAGGAAGCTCACAATAGTGTGAAAATGATATGCCGTTATGAGGCCTTCGTTTTTCGAGCTAAACAGGCCTGAGTTATCCCCCTTAGATTATGACGTAATTGGTGCCAATTCAACTGGATCCCTGTCTATTCTCAACGCAAAAGATATCAAGTACCAGTTTGCGGTAAAACAACATGGCCTACGACACACTCCGGCGCAGTGGTGACTCAGCATAACACTATGCTGGCTGGCATCTGAGACGCTAGAATCACACACCTGGACCTACACCACGTGAAGCGGCTCTAACAAAGCATGATGACGTCATAATGTTTATCAATTGGCACCAATGACGTCATATTGCAAGGGGCATAAGCCATGGTGTTTTTGTTGTGGAAATAGAACACTTGGTAAATGTGAAAAATATAAATCGTTTTAATGCGAAAAATATGTTAATTAATTGTGATATTTTTATATTTTTGTCTATGACACTTCTAGGTTAACACTTTTAATGTGGAAAAAGTACAAGAAAAATAGGTTCATTTCCGTGTGAACTTGCCCTTTAAGCTGTCTGGACATAGCATGCCAGTGTTATCGCACTGAACATACATTTGCGCTTAAATAAATCAGAACTTAAATCTCAAATATGTATTGGTTTGTTAGTTTTAATTAGGAAAAGTGACCCTCCACAGCACCGGAAGTAGTCAAGATTTTAGTCACGTGACCTCTATCAGTAAAATGACTGGCTCAAACCTATCGTCTGCTGTAGCAGTATAGTATAGTCCTGCACCATGACCGTGGAGTATATTTATTTTATGAAAAAAATTAATCTAGAAATGCATAAAAAAGCAAGTCTAGCCAGATCAAGCTAGTTCTATTCCACAGGGAATTTTTATATATTTTTAGAGTCAAGAAAGATATTGTGTATAAGATTTCAGAGACTAAATGTTAGTCTACAGTATACTACTGTTACTGTTGTGGTGGACGATTACTTTTGGATTATATACCTTGGCTATTGCATTTTTATGCTCAATCATGGCTAAATCGTGTGTTTCAACTTTCTTTTGGCACTCACTTGGAATACCAGTCTCTTACTAACTATTTATCATGATGCAACTTCCAACTGACACCATCGGAGATTTGTCAAGAAAGGTTTGAACATATTGGAATTCTGACACCTCTAAAACTAATGAGTACATTTGTACCAATAAGGCTTGTGTATGCATTAATATTATGAAGAACTTTAAACGCTCCTAGAATTTTATGTGTATTTTTGCCATCCAAAAAATCAGAAAAAATAGAAACAAAAGGTTGAATGATGGTATTCCTCCTGAGAAAAATGTAAGACATCGTATAATTATGGCTGCCCATGTAGTCCCTGTGAGGTATGCATACAGTAGGGAATTTTTTATAAAAGATGGTCCTCATCATGAAATGAATAAACCTTATTATCCAGGTAAAAAGCATTAATATTCAGTGAATATATTTCATAACATGGAAAACTAATAAAAGTACAAAAACACAGTTGTTTTAGTAGAAACCTATGTTTATCCAGTTGACAGAATAGAGAGTGAATATGTCATAAGCTAGCAAATTGTATTTACTGTTTGTAGGTCGCACTTGAGAACGAGCCTTGGTTTATACGGGAAAAGATATCAATTACAAAATTGAGGCTAAGCTCGCACACTGATTGGTTTCCACTTGATTTTCATCGTTTCCATACCACGGAACCTGCTCTGTTGGTTCATAAGCGTATGGTTTTGCAACTTTTTGATGGGTCAAGGGAACTTCTTCGGATCAGGCAATATATCGGATGCCATGTTGTATAACCATAAACTGGTACTTAATATCTTTTGCGTTGTGACAAGACAGGGACCCAGTTAAATTATCACCATCATAATCTAAGGGGGGATAACTCAGGCCTGTTTAGCTCGGAAACCGAAGGCCTCATAACGGCATTACATTTTCGCACTTACTGAGAGATTCCTACTTTCACTGTGAGAAAAATGAGGGTATACCAACTAATTCTAAAATTGCGTTTTGTTTAAAATAAGAAAGAAAATGATTTTTGCGTGTACACTTCCACTTTAAATGGTTCTATACTTATCAGATATACAATAATGCTACTTGTAGTGTGAGAATGCCGGGACCAAAGAAACGTATCCACATGAGACGTTTTTCCAATGGTAAGCTTTCTACTAAGCGAGAATTTACTGTGTACAAAGAACTGCAAATAGTGGCTCACTGTTAAGTTTTGAAGTTCGAATATTCCCCAATACACGATGAGACTAATTTTCTCGGTCTATTAGTTGGAACCTGTTTCCCTATACATGCAATGCCTAATGCACGGGGAACTGTTGGCCTAGGCACGGTGGTAGCTTCGTCTCATAGACTTGACAGAATTCTGTCTCGGATTCGTGAACGAGTTTTGCCGATTATGATCATAGGTTTTGTCAGCACCACTACCTTGTCTTGCTGGTAGTGACAAGACCTGCATCACTTTTATCCAACATAAAGCTGACACCACATGGTGAAATTGAAGCACAAATGCCAAACACATCGAATTACTTCTATCTTGGAAATATCTGTCTAGATGCATGGGCACTCTTTGAAAATAATAGCCCAGACTACATGTAATAATTATTTTGTATCACCATTACTTTTGAGGCCGGATATAATCTGAAATTAAAAGGGCCCCGGCTTCATTGAGTTTTTTTTAGTGTGTTGTTTAATCGAAACTCAGTCGACAACACGACTTTGTTGGTTTGTTTAACGCCGCACTCAGCAATATTCCAGCTATATGACGGCGGTCTGTAAATAATCGAGTCTGGGCCAGACAATTCAGTGATTAATATCATGAGCATCGATCCACGCAATTGGGATCGATGACATGCATCAACCAAGTCAGCGAGCCTGACCACCCGATTCCACGGTCTGAAATAATCTAGTCTCGATCAGTCAAACCAGTGATCGATATTATGAGCAACGCCCCACCAACTCTTCACACACACCCCGCCCCCCCCCCCCCCCCCCAGGTCCGCTGGGGACGTATTGTAATCGTGATAACAGAGTCGAAATTTTTATAAGAACACTTTTTATTTTCTTCACTTAACAGCATGCCATTTTGTTGTGAGAATTACAACTAATAATTACCGTATTCGACGTAATAAGCGCCCAGGGCGCTCTCGAAATTAGAAACAGGGGGCCCTTATTAGAATAGTATTTTGAGTTGAAAGATCGTAAATTTCATGGTTTATGCTGACAGCCTGAAATGTTTATATACGACAGATATATTTTTCCAGGATTTAATTGCCCATAATTAAGGGTGCATATAACACACGAGTGCGTATTATACACAAATGAATAAGTCTTGTGTACATTAATCAATTGGAAGAGGTGCTAATTGAGATTGTTCACTAGCCAATATATTAGCAAATATCGCCGTGGGCGCTTATTAGAGCAGGGCGCTTATTACGTCGAATACGGTATATAATTATGTACATCAGGGTAATAGATATATTCTGCAGTCATAGTCAAAGGCCAAAGTTTCAAAGACATCAGCACTTGGCTTCAAATATCTTGTCATCCTTTTTACCTTCACTTCATGCATATATATATAAAATTGATTTTTACTATTTTACATGGTGCTCTAGTTTTAACATCCGAACAATAACGACAGCCACGTGAATTTACAAAATCTCCATCAGTTACAGTTGTAGTGTCCATTCTCAGTTCATTCTCAGGGGAACAAGAAACACTGTGAAGCGGTTGCGCAGAGTTCCTGATCAAATTATTCTGCTCGTCACTTGTGTTTTGTTTCACTGTCTTGTATCATAGTTTGACACAGGTGTTAACGGAAAATGACAAGAAATAAGAACACAGAAGCGATGATGATGGAGAACAGCACAAATGAAGAGGTTTCCTTGGGTGCTGTGGAGGCCGGAGGGTTGGCTGGTGGTGGTGTCGTCATTCCTGACGACGGAGGCGGTGTCGTTGGCGTTGGCGTTGGTGTGGGATCATAACCAGATGTTGATGATGAACTTGATGAAACTAGACCAAAGCAAACACGGTTCAATCACCAGCAGTTGTTTGAGGTAGCATAGTTATACTGTCTTAACTGTGTTTATTTTGTGTTTTATTTGTGTGTTTGTTGTTTAATGACGCACTCAGCAATATTCCAGCTATATGACTGTGGTCAGCAAATAATCGAGTCTGGACCACACAATCCAGGGATTGACATCATGAGCACCGATCTACGCAATTGGGATACGATGACATGCATCAACCGACTCAGGGAGCCTGACCACCCGATCCCGTTAGTCGCCTCTTACATAGTCGTCTCTTAGGGCAAGCTGGAGATCAATTCTAACCTGGATCTTCTAGGGTAGGCTCAACTATGACAGGTATGCAGAAAAACATACAATCGCAACTAAGAAGTTACACTTGCATTATACCAGATACCCGTCGTCCAGATTTGTTTCATGCTTCTAAAACAGGGACACCAACGGCATGTCTTTTTGTCAAATAGGGGGATCAAGCTAAACAATGCAGACAGAATGACCCGGCAAACATTTGTATGGTTTAATATGATTAAACTACGAAATTGAACATCCAAGTTATTCACAGTCAAAGAGGGAGGATTTCCTTATATATTTTAAGGTAAAATAAACAGTTTCAATTTCAAGCCCGCTGCCTTATTGTTCAATGAAAATTAAGATCCTTCTAAAAATGTCTCCATCCAGGGTATCAAAAGAGGGTTAGCACCCCCATTCATGGACCAAATACATGTCTCCCCAGTTAGGCCTGCTAAAGTGAATTTTGAGATCTGTTGGAAAAACAAAACAATCCATACCTTGCTGTACAGCAAGAAGACACAGGGCTGCCAATCCTAAAAGATACACTGCTTTCGTCATGTTGCCCTGAAAGAAAACAAAACAAAACTGCAATGATGCATTTGTGTAACAGCAGCAGGACAGTAGGTGCAATATCAGTGTTCACTAAAGTCTACAGAATGCAGGACAGACAGAGTGAGCGTTTCAACTATTGAAACATATCTTGAGCATTGTCTGGATCCAAAGCTAAAAACAATAGTAGCCAAAATGAAGCACTCTGCATCGTTTTGGTGAACTTAATATGCTTAAAAAAAACAGTAGGACCAGTAGGTTCATTTTCTAGGACATTGGCTGCTTGTCAAAATGTCAAAACCCCAAATGTCCTACATATATATATTTTAAAATTAGTCATGTCACAGAAGAATGCCCTATCAAAAGTTAATAAAATCGTGAAAATGTCCAAATGGTATTTCTCTCCAACAAAATCACTGGTGCTTTATAGACTGCATGATGGTGAGAAAATCCTTCCTGCGAAAATAGGCACAAGCAATTAAACTGCTTGTTTTGATCTAGATCTGGTTAGAAAACAGCGGAAGTCAATGCTCAAGTCATACTCATGTAACTCGTATATGTCTAATTAAGTGAGAAAGTACCCTTGAAGTTCATTTTAGATCAGATCTAGACCTATAATTAGTTCCAAGGAAGTTTCTATTTGTGCATAGATCTAGTTATCGCCATTTTTTTCATGTTATTTCTGAAATGTTCCGTGTACAAAGTTAACTGTGCCAACAACTTTGATTTTTGTCAAACTGTGCAAATGCGCGTATTTCTGTCCATGGAAAAAGTTGCAGTAGATTTCTGTACGCTAACACACTCCTGCGCAGTGAGGACAATCTATTACACAGGCAAATTTGCACATCACGGGACCTGACTTCTCTTGTATGTGAACTACACGCGCTCGCCTGCCAGTGACGTCCCGCCTAATAAAAGCATTTCAATTCAGTGTGCCTTACATATTGTTTGTATCATTATAAACAAGTAAATTATTACAACTACTAGGACAGTGAGAGATGTAACAATCACACAACATGACCTCACAGTTAGCTGGCCAAGGTGTTTGAAAAATAGGCCCTAAATATACATACGCAAACGGAAATAGTTCTAATCGTCTTGGGATATTTTCTCAATGAAAGTTCGCTATTTCATGAGACATGATCTTAATATGCTGAATTTTGAAAATAGAAACAGATGAAAAGCATTGAATATGTAATTTGTTGAATTTGCCATGTAAGATGTAACTAGCGTTTGCATGAACGGCCAACCAGTGTGTCGCATTTTTGTCAGAAAAATACAACATAGATCTATCGAATAAAGAAAACACAAACAGCACAATTACTGAGGATAAGTAACATTAATTCCAGCTTTTGCATGTATAAGAACAATTCTGACAACTTTACGGCATTATGCAGCATATATGTACTCACGTGTGTAAGAATCAAAACGACAAAGTCGAGATTTCGGAACAACAACAAAACCGCCCGTTATTTACGCAACTGGAACATGACGTCATACGTATCGTTAATGACGTCATGTGAAAACGTGACATTGCTCTTGCATCGAAGGAGAAAAAACACCTTTTCAAATAACCTCCGAATGAATGTATTTTACATTTTTTGTCTCCTATATATATCTCAGAAAATATGTACAACGATGTGACTAAAAACACTTTACATTGTTACTGTAATTAATGCAGTTTCTCTGGCTGTAGATCATTTTTCGAAGCCGGCTGTTCTTTGAAACAAGAAGATGAGAGTAACCTCCCTTTGTATTTCCAGCGGGAAAGAGAAGCATTTCAAAGCGCACTTTATTTCAAGGCAATTTTGTCATTATGCATTTAGATCTGCTTGTATTAGTATGAGGGCCTTGTAATTTTACCTTGGGTGTTAAAGGAAAAGGTAAGACAAGCAGTAATAGTGTCAATTCATATGAACGGCCGAATGAACAACCGATAACTTGTTTACAGTTTAATAGGGGGCCTAGTAGCTGTCATGTTACTTGTCAGTGTCAACTAGTGGCCGATCAAAGGTTTTCTCGTGTTAGTTGCAGACATTGGCCTCTATGAACCAATGCGTGCCGTTGAGGTGTTTGGTTCACTCTTACTTGATTTTGTTTATGTGTCTCGACTCATCAGGAAACAATTAATAACAAGTATGCTGATGTGATTTATCTCATGTGTATGAAGCAGGCCTAGATCTAAAACTACAGTGGGTTTATTTGTATTTTGTAATCTATTATTTTTAGCCCAAATAGGAAGTGGTAGTGTTGTTTGTACACATAAAGTGACATTTTCTAACATGACATTTTGATAAAATTTGTAGGTTGGGAATAAACCTAAGATCATTCATGGGTTCAATAAGAATGAAAGTCTTATGAAGACAATGTGCGACGCGGACAGTTGCTCGATGACCCCACCTCACTCCCCCCTCCCACTGCAGTTTGAGGACTTCATGGAACCATCCCCCCCAAAACTTCTCAGAGGGCCAATCAATGGTCAGGACGGCAACCATGGTAACTACAAATACAAATATACCCAAAGACAAAAGAATCTGAACATGTTCTTATTTAGCATATATCATATAATCTTTTCAAAGTCTTATTTTTTTTTCTTTCAAGATTATATTGGTGTTTAATTTGGGCTGACAACTGACCCCATATATTTGCCATACACTTTCCAAAGATTTGAATGTTCTTTTCAATTAACGTTAAACTAATTCCAAATTTGATGTTCCATTTCTGTTACCCTATCCCACATGTTAAAGGATTGAAATTGATCATTCCTTGTTGGTATGACCTTTATAACTTGAATGCAGTTTGAGATATAATGATAATTAAGGTGCATGGTCAGATTTGCTTTGTTTCCTGTTGTTTATCCTTGTTGTAATACCCTAATACAGAAATATTTCATGTTCACATTCACTTTCTGTAGATTTTTCCATGACTACAAACTATATTAATCTCTTTACTATAACACATTCACTCTCTTTTATTAATTTGCTCTGTTGAATTAAATTTTACAAAATAATGAACTTGTTCTGTGAGGATGAGGTGTTGAGGAACATCAGTTGTTGTGTAGAGACTGATTGTTCAGTTGCACATATCTGAATCTGGCATATTGCACATGTTGAGCCCCGTGAAGATCCGGGCAAGAATTGGTCCTCAGCAACCCATGCTTGCTGTGAGAGGCGATCAGGCAGTCAGGCTCACTGTCTTGGTTGATGCATGTCATCGTATCCCAATTGCGTGGATCAATGCTCATGATGTCAATCTCTTTATTGTGTGGTCCAGACTCGATTATTTCCGGACCGTCCTCATATAGCTGGAATATTGCTAAGTGCGGCGTTAAACAACAAACAAACAAACAAACAACAAACAAACAAACAAACCACCTTCTCCAGGTGCCGCCAAGTAAATGAATCAGTTTGTGCCACCCAAATATTGGCTGCACCATTTTATCACATATTGAAACACTGTATTTTGAGTTATTATGAATATTAAGTAACTTGAGAGAAAATGAACTTGAGAATGTGCTTCAGTATTTTATTTGGAGGAAATCTGTATATGGCCTTTCACATCTTGACATCCAGTAAACAACCTTAAACAAAAGTTTCAAAGTGGCTGTTGTGATTGTAACCTAACGAGTGACTGTCCAAGTGGTAATTATGAAGAGTTTGTTCTGCAAGTTCACTGCATTCAGACCTGTGTACTTCACTATTTTCATGAACTTTTGTTTCCTGGATTCTAATAGATTTGCAGCCAGTTCTAAAAGAATTAAGTTTTCCAATTTTATAACTTTGCCATGCACTTGTGGTGAGAAATATTACCTGCAAAAGTTGCAACCTGGCAATAAAAGTAACACTAGCAATGTTTTACCTGGCCTGATGCAGCTAGGACAGAGCAAACTCCTTCCCTGTATATAACATTGGTTTGGCAGGTACCTGTTGTCATGCTTGAAACGAGACATTCCTTACATATTGTGGTATTTTTGGTTGTTTATTAACATATATATAAACAAGTTCCTTTATTTAGTTTGAGTAGACATGGTAGAACACACAAGCCTTGTTCTACTAGTTGAATTTTATTCTTGAGGAGCAGTATTTGTAAAATATTCTCTTAAAGCCATTGCTTTAGATGATGAAGTTCCTGAGTCTTGGACTGTGCCCTGTTTCACATGTGGTGGAGATGTGCATGGGATTTGTAAGACTTTTTATCTCCATGACAACAGCATCATCAAAAAGGGAGCCCTTAAGCGGTAGGTATTTAATAAAATCACCAATATCTTGAAGCACAATTATTATGATAGGATACAGCCGTGTTGTTTCTTGAGATATAGGTATGATTTGTTGTTTATCATTTCTTTAGAAATTTTGAATATTGAGTTTAAATTATTTAAACATAATTTCTCTGGATGCGTGATTTGGGAAATAAATATTTAAACAGAGTATTGATTAGTTTGTTGTGGTCTAAAATTTTATATTTCTTCTATCGGAAGTTGTAATTGAAGTGTTTTGCAGATTTGTTATGTTTGAAATTGATTATATCTTTCTGTATAAAAATACTAGGTGATGTCGGTAGGAATTGTGATACTTACCATATTGTTAGGTAAGTGGATATATCATTTGATGTAGGTTTGCATGTTATATCCAGCGGATAATTTCACTTGTTTTGTCAGCATGATTCACCCCAGCCCAGAGCTGTCACCGGCATCAAGGGCAGTTGTGATGGAGCTGTTTGGCTTCCAGTTTGTCAACCAGCTTGCTCTTATTGAACACACAGAGAAGCTGTTTCTACTAGCAAAGTGAGTCGTACTCCATTTATCATTGAACACACACAGAAGCTGTTTCTACTAGCAAAGTGAGTCGTACTCCATTTATCATTGAACACACACAGAAGCTGTTTCTGCTAGCAAAGTGAGTCGCACTCTATTTATCATTGGAATATGTGTTGTTTTTAAAAAGAATTGTGACTACAGTGCAAAACAGCTATATTAATTCATGTGTGAGGGACTTTAAGAAGGTCTCACCCTTCAAATTCATGAAATACATTACAGAAATGTAAAACAGTATACAATGTAAAATCCACCCCTTTGGGTCATGAGAGACCTTACTTTTGGTCAATGAAAACATACTATGAGTCCCTGTGTTATAGGTTCTGTGTGAGTTCGTGTGTTACAGGTTCTGTGTGAGTCCCTGTGTTGTAGGTCAATTCAACAGTTTTTAAACCTTATGTCAACAAACTCCACAAGAACTTTAAAACACATTGGACTATTTCTATCTAAAGTTATGAATATACATAACTCATCACTGTTCTAACGCATTCTAAAACTATTTGTCTTAACATATCGCCATAGTACTATATAAGCATGTATGATCTACATTATGTTAACATGTATTATGGGCTGGAGGCCTGATTACTGAATAAATTTGTCTGTCTGTCTGCCCTGTGTTATAGGTCCTGTGTGGGTCCCTGTGTTGTAGGTCCTGTGTGAGTCCCTGTGTTGTAGGTCATGTGTGGGTCCCTGTGTTGTAGGTCCTGTGTGAGTCCCTGTGTTGTAGGTCATGTGTGGGTCCCTGTGTTGTAGGTCCTGTGTGAGTCCCTGTGTTATAGGTCCTGTGTGGGTCCCTGTGTTGTAGGTCCTGTGTGGGTCCCTGTGTTGTAGGTCCTGTGTGAGTCCCTGTGTTATAGGTCCTGTGTGGGTCCCTGTGTTGTAGGTCCTGTGTGGGTCCCTGTGTTGTAGGTCATGCGTGAGTCCCTGTGTTGTAGGTCATGTGTGAGTCCCTGTGTTGTAGGTCCTGTGTGGGTCCCTGTGTTGTAGGTCATGCGTGAGTCCCTGTGTTGTAGGTCCTGCGTGGATCCCTGTGTTGTAGGTCATGCGTGGATCCCTGTGTTGTAGGTCATGCGTGAGTCCCTGTGTTGTAGGTCATGTGTGAGTCCCTGTGTTGTAGGTCCTGTGTGGGTCCCTGTGTTGTAGGTCATGCGTGAGTCCCTGTGTTGTAGGTCCTGTGAGTCCCTGTGTTGTAGGTCCTGTGTGGATCCCTGTGTTGTAGGTCATGCATGAGTCCCTGTGTTGTAGGTCCTGTGTGAGTCCCTGTGTTGTAGGTCCTGTGTGGATCCCTGTGTTGTAGGTCATGCGCGAGTCCCTGTGTTGTAGGTCCTGTGTGAGTCCCTGTGTTGTAGGTCCTGTGTGAGTCCCTGTGTTATAGGTCCTGTGTGAGTCCCTGTGTTGTAGGTCATGTGTGAGTCCCTGTGTTATAGGTCCTGTGTGAGTCCCTGTGTTATGGTTATGTGTGAGTCCCTGTGTTATGGTCATGTGTGAGTCCCTGTGTTATGGTCATGTGTGAGTCCCTTTGTTATGGTCATGCGTGAGTCCCTGTGTTATGGTCATGTGTGAGTCCCTGTGTTATGGTCATGTGAGTCCCAGTGTTATGGTCATGTGTGAGTCCCTGTGTTATGGTCATGTGTGAGTCCCTGTGTTATGGTCATGTGTGAGTCCCTTTGTTATGGTCATGCGTGAGTCCCTGTGTTATGGTCATGTGTGAGTCCCTGTGTTATGGTCATGTGTGAGTCCCTGTATTGCAGGTCATGTGTGAGTCCCTGTGTTGCAGGTCATGTGTGAGTCCCTGTGTTATGATCATTTGTGAGTCCCTGTCTCTCCGGTCACGTGTGAGTCCCTGTGTTGCAGGTCATGTGTGAGTCCCTGTGTTATGGTTATGTGGGTCCCTGTGTTATGGTCATGTGTGAGTCTCTGTGTTATGGTCATGGGTGAGTCCCTGTGTTGCAGGTCATGTGTGAGTCTCTGTGTTATGGTTATGTGAGCCTTGTGTTGCAGGTCATATGTGAGTCCCTGTGTTGTAGGTCATGTGTGAGTCCCTGTGTTGTAGGCCATATGTGAGTCCCTGTGTTATGGTCATGTGTGAGTCCCTGTGTTGCAGGTCATGTGTGAGTCCCTGTGTTGCAGGTCATGTGTGAGTCCCTGTGTTGCAGGTCATGTGTGAGTCTCTGTTATGGTTATGTGAGTCCCTGTGTTATTGGTCATGTGTGAGTCTCTGTGTTATGGTTATGTGAGTCCCTGTGTTATGGTCATGTGTGAGTCCCTGTGTTATGGTCATGTGTGAGTCCCTGTGTTATGGTTATGTGAGTCCCTGTGTTATGGTCATGTGTGAGTCCCTGTGTTGCAGGTCATGTGTGAGTCCCTGTGTTATGGTTATGTGTGAGTCTCTGTGTTATGGTCATGTGTGAGTCTCTGTGTTATGGTTATGTGTGGATCCCTGTGTTATGGTTATGTGTGAGTCTCTGTGTTATGGTCATGTGTGAGTCTCTGTGTTATGGTTATGTGTGAGTCCCTGTGTTATGGTCATGTGTGAGTCCCTGTACTGCAGGTCATGTGTGAGTCCCTATGTTGCAGGTCATGTGTGAGTCCCTGTGTTGCAGGTCATGTGTGAGTCCCTTAGTGATAGGTCATGTGTGAGTCCCTGTGTTGTAGGTCATATGTGAGTCCCTGTGTTGCAGGTCATATGTGAGTCCCTGTGTTATGGTCATGTGTGAGTCCCTGTGTTGCAGGTCATGTGTGGGTCCCTGTGTTGCAGGTCCTGTGTGAGTCCCTGTGTTATGGTCATGTGTGAGTCTCTGTGTTATGGTTATGTGAGTCCCTGTGTTATGGTCATGTGTGAGTCTCTGTGTTATGGTTATGTGAGTCCCTGTGTTATGGTCATGTGTGAGTCTCTGTGTTATGGTTATGTGAGTCTCTGTGTTATGGTCATGTGTGAGTCTCTGTGTTATGGTTATGTGAGTCCCTGTGTTATGGTCATGTGTGAGTCTCTGTGTTATGGTTATGTGAGCCTTGTGTTGCAGGTCATGTGTGAGTCCCTCTGTTGCAGGTCATATGTGAGTCCCTGTGTTATGGTTATGTGTGAGTCCCTGTGTTATGGTTATGTGAGTCCCTGTGTTATGGTCATGTGTGAGTCCCTGTGTTATGGTCATGTGTGAGTCGCTGTGTTATGGTTGTGTGAGTCCCTGTGTTATGGTCATGTGTGAGTCTCTGTGTTATGGTTATGTGAGCCTTGTGTTGCAGGTCATGTGTGAGTCCCAGTGTTATGGTCATGTGTGAGTCCCTGTGTTATGGTTATGTGAGTCCCTGTGTTATGGTCATGTGTGAGTCCCTGTGTTGCAGGTCATGTGTGAGTCCCTGTGTTGCAGGTCATGTGTGAGTCCCTGTGTTGCAGGTCATGTGTGAGTCCCTGTGTTGCAGGTCATGTGTGAGTCTCTGTTATGGTCATGTGTGAGTCCCTTAGTGATAGGTCATGTGTGAGTCTCTGTGTTATGGTCATGTGTGAGTCCCTGTGTTGCAGGTCATGTGTGAGTCCCTGTGTTGCAGGTCCTGTGTGAGTCCCTGTGTTGCAGGTCCTGTGTGAGTCCCTGTGTTGCAGGTCATGTGTGAGTCTCTGTTATGGTCATGTGTGAGTCTCTGTTATGGTCATGTGTGAGTCCCTTAGTGATAGGTCATGTGTGAGTCTCTGTGTTATGGTTATGTGAGTCCCTGTGTTGCAGGTCATGTGTGAGTCTCTGTGTTATGGTTATGTGAGTCCCTGTGTTATGGTCATGTGTGAGTCCCTGTGTTGCAGGTCATGTGTGAGTCCCAGTGTTATGGTCATGTGTGAGTCTCTGTGTTATGGTTATTTGAGTCCCTGTGTTATGGTCATGTGTGAGTCCCTGTGTTGCAGGTCATGTGTGAGTCCCTGTGGTGCAGGTCATGTGTGAGTCCCTGTGTTATGGTCATGTGTGAGTCCCTGTGTTATGGTCATGTGTGAGTCCCTGTGTTATGGTCATGTGTGAGTCCCTGTGTTATGGTCATGTGTGAGTCCCTGTGTTATGGTCATGTGTGAGTCCCTGTGTTATGGTCATGTGTGAGTCCCTGTGTTGCAGGTCATGTGTGAGTCTCTGTGTTATGGTCATGTGTGAGTCCCTGTGTTATGGTCATGTGTGAGTCCCTGTGTTGCAGGTCATGTGTGAGTCCCTTAGTGATAGGTCATGTGTGAGTCCCTGTGTTGCAGGTCATGTGTGAGTCCCTGTGGTGCAGGTCATGTGTGAGTCCCTGTGTTATGGTCATGTGTGAGTCCCTGTGTTATGGTCATGTGTGAGTCCCTGTGTTATGGTCATGTGTGAGTCCCTGTGTTATGGCCATGTGTGAGTCCCTGTGTTATGGTCATGTGTGAGTCCCTGTGTTATGGTCATGTGTGAGTCCCTGTGTTATGGTCATGTGTGAGTCCCTGTGTTATGGTCATGTGTGAGTCCCTGTGTTATGGTCATGTGTGAGTCCCTGTGTTGCAGGTCATGTGTGAGTCTCTGTGTTATGGTCATGTGTGAGTCCCTGTGTTATGGTCATGTGTGAGTCCCTGTGTTGCAGGTCATGTGTGAGTCCCTTAGTGATAGGTCATGTGTGAGTCCCTTAGTGATTGGTCATGTGTGAGTCCCTTAGTGATTGGTCATGTGTGAGTCCCTTAGTGTTATGGTCATGTGTGAGTCCTGTGTAGTAGGTCATGCGTCAGTCCCTGTGTTGCAGGTCGTGTGTGAGCAGTATACAGTCTGGTGTTTTAGGACCATCAGAAGAAGGTAAGAGGAGGCAACTGGCTTTAATTTCTTCGTTAGAATTGGGAACACTATACAACAAAGTACAGATAATTGAATTCATAATCTGGTTAAACAGAATTTCTAAAGTATAAGCTATTATATAACTGTTATTCTACTTCAACCAATATTATTCATAAATGCCATTGACTCTTTGTAAAGTATTCAATGTGTGAATTGTTTCACAAAGAAGTGATATTAAGATTCATTTTAAATACCAACAAAATAATGCTTCTTTCAGTCATGTCAATAGTGGGATTATATGACCTCCTAAAATTCAAAACAGTAAAGGTTATGGATTATGGCATAACCCAATACTGAGATTGTTGATGCTACTGCTGCTTGTGATGTACTTTGTCCGTCCTTCCTCCAGGTCCAGGAGAGCTCCGAAAACAGCTGCAGGAATTCCTGGAATATATCAAACAGTTCCTGCTACAGTAAGTGTTTTACAGAACTCTCATTCAATGTTTTGTGAATTCTGTACAACTCAAAAAAAGTTAACGACCACCCAATTCTTTCATATCACTATATAGACCGCCTCCGTGGTCTAGTGGTAGAGCGTCCGCCCGGGGAGAGGAAGGTCCGGGGTTCGACCTCTGCCACGTCATACCAAAAGACGTTCAGAGATGGTACTTGTTGTTACCCTGTCTGGCGCTCAGCATTAAGGGGCTAAAACAAGGACTGGTCGTATACTGTGTCTGAGTGGGGTATTCATGTTAAACTGTGGCATGGTATCTCAGTGTGCTAGCACTATAAATCGGCATCAGTCCGGACTAGTACAAGCAGCCACACACACACACATACACGTGCATGCACATCGCTATATAAGTGCAATAATCTTGGACGCGACAACCCCATTTCACCTCACCTCACCTCACCTCACCTCACTATAGTTAATCTGTCATGTCCGAAAAACATCTGTATCACTTCAAGCTTTCCTCCCACATCAGACTGACTCGCTGCGATAATATTGGAATAGCCACTTATCCAACTCCACTCCACGGAGTGGAAACAATTCACCCGAACACACTCCGCAGTCAGCTGCCTTTTAACATCTTTGCTTAGTACCGCTATGTGAGACAAACATGGCTTTTCATAGCACATTTATACTTTCACTAATTTATTGTTTAGGTGTTTAATTCAAATACTTAGTTATTTGTTGCTGATGTTGTATTGTGATCCAGTTACATTTAGGTTGCATCATGTGTTCACCTAGCCTGAAAGGCCATGTGAGCTTGTGTCTTCACAAGTCATCCGTCGTCGTCGTCAATGAACTGTATATATCATCAACTTCTTCTCCAAAATTTCTTGATGGACTCAGCTGAAATTTTGTGTGGATGTGTGTTACTATAAATGGGTTCAAGTTTGTCAAGGCATCAAATTGGAAAATGTGAAAAGATCATGTATCATCTGTTGTAAAGATCTCCTCGTAAGCCACTGGACCAATGGCTGGCACAGCACATGTGTTTAAAGACCTACTTATGTCTCCTGCAATATGAAATGTGAGGAGAGGTGTTCAGGTAGGGCAGATAAGAAATAGGCATTAACCCAAGAGCCCCAGTCAGTTCATGACCCATGAAGATCCGGGTTGGAATAGGTCTTCAGCAACCCATGCTTGCTGTAAAAGGCGACTAATGGGATCAGGTGGTCAGGCTCGCTGACTAAGTTGAGCATGCCATCGTATCCCAATTGCGTGGGTCGATGCTCATGGCATCAGTCACTGGATTGTCTGGACCAGATTATTTACAGACCGATTATTTATTGATCATGCACAGACCACTGTCATATAGTTGGAATATTACTGAGTGCGGCGTTAAACAACAAACAAACTGTTTATCCCATGTTAACGATATCCTGAAGGAGAGGTTCAGGCGTTTGAGGAAGTTTTGGTGGGTGTTGTTATTTGTGTAATATTATCACTGACACAAAGTCTGGCCAGTAAGTGTTTTTAAACTACTTTCCTCCGAATCTGTAATTCCTGGTAAACAATGTTTTTGATTCTGTGATTGTTCTTCAGCTTCCTGCCAACAGACGTGACAAGGAGGGAGGTGTTCGTGACAAGTCTCGTGTCGGAGCTCCATGGCCTGTTGCTGTACTCGGGCCGTCTGTCCGACGTCCTCCAGTTTGTGCCTCACTCGGCGCCCGTCTTCTTTGGGAACAAGGTGAGGAACAGGAAGGAGTCCTGCTAAGACTGATCATCTCCGTGGTCAGTTGATAGAGCAATAGAAGGTCAAGGGTTAAAACATGGTACTTGTTGTTGCGCTGTCTACTGGTCAGCTTGGAGTAGGCATACTGTGTCTGAGTGTGGTATCCATGTTAAACTGCAGCATGGTAACTCAGTATATATAAACACCAATAGTTTTGACTGCTACACTCAGATACTCACACAATCAGAAATAAAAAATATGTGTTATGTCGTCATCGGCTCTCTTAATACAATTTAATGTATATAACATTTAATCCTGGATCTTGTGTAATGTAATGTGTAAGATCACAAAGAATAACTTAAGGTACAGATCTATGCCCAAAACATGTGAGTTGAATTGTGTACTCCAGACTGATGGCAGCCATCACCAGTTTCACCTTCAGCTGGACCTGTACTGGAGTCTGCTGGACATCTTCAACATCATCTACGCTCAGTGTGCAGGTACCATACTTGGTCTAATATGCCCCCCCTTACTGCATGCTTGATGTGAGACTTTATGGGGATCATGTGGTCCCTTGTGCTGCATGCTTGACGTAAGACTTGGCTTAATGGGGATCATGTGATCCCTTGTGCTGCATGCTTGACGTAAGAGTTGGCTTAATGGGGGTCCTTTGATCCCTTGTGCTGCATGCTTGACGTAAGAGTTGGCTTAATGGGGATCATGTGATCCCTTGTGCTGGATGCTTGACGTAAGAGTTGGCTTAATGGGGATCATATGATCCCTTGTGCTGCATGCTTGACGTAAGAATTGGCTTAATGGGGATCACATGATCCCTTGTGCTGCATGCTTGACATAAGAGTTGGCTTAATGGGGATCATGTGATCCCTTGTGCTGCATGCTTGACGTAAGAGTTGGCTTAATGGGGATCATGTGATCCCTTGTGCTGCATGCTTGATGTAAGAGTTGGCTTAATGGGGATCACGTGATCCCTTGTGCTGCATGCTTGACGTAAGAGTTGGCTTAATGGGGATCATGTGATCCCTTGTGCTGCATGCTTGATGTAAGAGTTGGCTTAATGGGGATCATGTGATCCCTTGTACTGCATGCTTCACGTAAGAGTTGGCTTAATGGGGATCATGTGATCCCTTGTAGTTGTACTGCATGCTTGACGTAAGAGTTGGCTTAATGGGGATCATGTGATCCCTTGTGCTGCATGCTTGACGTAAGAGTTGGCTTAATGGGGATCATGTGATCCCTTGTGCTGGATGCTTGACGTAAGACTTGACATAATGGGGATCATGTGATCCCTTGTGCTGCATGCTTGACGTAAGACTTGACATAATTGGGATCATGTGATCCCTTGTGCTGCATGCTTGACGTAAGACTTGACATAATGGGGATCATGTGATCCCTTGTGCTGCATGCTTGACGTAAGACTTGACATAATGGGGATCATGTGATCCCTTGTGCTGGATGCTTGACGTAAGAATTGGCTTAATGGGGATCATGTGATCCCTTGTGCTGGATGCTTGACGTAAGACTTGACATAATGGGGATCATGTGATCCCTTGTGCTGCATGCTTGACGTAAGACTTGACATAATGGGGATCATGTGATCCCTTGTGCTGCATGCTTGACGTAAGAGTTGGCTTAATGGGGATCATGTGATCCCTTGTGCTGGATGCTTGACGTAAGACTTGACATAATGGGGATCATGTGATCCCTTGTGCTGCATGCTTGACGTAAGACTTGACATAATGGGGATCATTTGATCCCTTGTGCTGCATGCTTGACGTAAGACTTGACATAATGGGGATCATGTGATCCCTTGTGCTGGATGCTTGACGTAAGAGTTGGCTTAGTTGGGATCACGTGATCCCTTGTGCTGGGTGCTTGACGTAAGAGTTGGCTTAATGGGGATCACGTGATCCCTTGTACTGGAAAGCCTTACTGGAGCTGTAACTGAGAGGATGCCTTTCCTGACCAGGTGTGAGTGTGAGACGGCCCCTGTGTGCCGCGATTGAGGACGCCATGACAGATGTTGGCTATCTGGACCAGCTGATGCAGCTGGTGGTCTGGGATCTGCTCTCTGCAGCTGTGGTCAAGTTTAATAAGGTACAGTTGCTTTTGTTTAGCAGTGTATTGCAGTTGGTTGTGTTCCAGTGTCATTAAATCAGATCTTAGTTAGATTTCCGCAAAACAAAGATCTAAGGACACCCATTACAGGTCATGTCAGACAAACCTCCAAGAACTTTGACCCACCAATAAAATGAGTAACAAGAAATCGACATTAACCAATCAGAAGCAACTTTCTCGATCTGTGCGACATTCTGGGATGTCAAATAGATATATCAGTACTTCCCACGGGCTGTGCAAAGTCGCTTCCGTTCAAATGTTTATCCTATGGAAGCAAGAACTAGACTGTTGCGCAGTAAAATATAAACTATAAACAAAAATGCGAATTCCCTTACTGTTGTATGTGGGGAACTAAACGTGACTCTTTTACTGTTGTATGCGGGGAACTAAACGTGACTCTTTTACTGTTGTATGCGGGGAACTAAACATGACTCTTTTACTGTTGTATGTGGGGAACTAAACGTGACTCTTTTACTGTTGTATGTGGGGAACTAAACGTGACTCTTTTACTGTTGTATGCAGGGAACTAAACGTGACTCTTTTACTGTTGTATGTGGGGAGCTAAACGTGACTCTTTTACTGTTGTATGCAGGGAACTAAACGTGACTCTTTTACTGTTGTATGTGGGGAACTAAAGGTGACTCTTTTACTGTTGTATGCGGGGAACTAAACGTGACTCTTTTACTGTTGTATGTGGGGAACTAAACGTGACTCTTTTACTGTTGTATGTGGGGAACTAAACGTGACTCTTTTACTGTTGTATGTGGGGAACTAAACGTGACTCTTTTACTGTTGTATGCGGGGAACTAAACGTGACTATCTTGATATGATAAAATAATTCAGATAACAAATTCGAGGAACTAAACATGAACCTCTTCTTGAAAAAGATGAAGAAATGTAAATGTGACAAAATTAACTAAATATGATTCTCACAATCTATTGCTATCAACCTATCAGTCTAGCCCTATTTTGGCTAGCATTGTTGCATCCGATTGCAAGCCTATCTTAACTAACACGTTCTACAATGTCCTACCTTGACGAGCTATAAATCAAAATTGTTGAATGTCCGACATATCATGCCAATCTGCAGCTATCAAACCAAAGTGAACTTAACTCAAGTAAGTCTGATTTACCTCGTTTTGCACATGCTCGGACAGCACGTGCCATGTCATACTTTTGTTTCTCCCACGGAGCAAGATGTGTTCCAGCTATCTGTTCCAGCTTAACATGTCTCAAACCACAGACAATGCTTGACAGATTCAGTCGTAAAGCCTGTCACTGTCGTTTGGAAAACCCAGTGTTAAACTTTTCAAGGTTGCATGATTAGAAAACACATTCCAATTTCCTGACTCTCTGATTGGTCGGATGAAAGGTTGTTCTGACTTGACCCGTAATGTGATGCCCTCTGATCATTGTTTAGTGGTAGCAAGAACTGATATCTGATTTTGATGAGATTGCTTTTGTTTAGCAATGTATTGCAGTTACTTGTAATTATAATTTTGAAAATGCATAATAAATAAATAAACATATCTCAAACCAAGTGTTGTGAATGACGGAAGCTATGTTTTGCAGATGACAGTGAGCAGTGACTACCTGCGAGTGTCCCCCTTCACATGTACCTGTGTGCTGGAGATGTGGGTGGGGCTCATCCACCTCGCCTCCCACCGACACAAGGCCCTAGGGGAGGAGGTACAGTCCTTTATCTACAGCATCGTTTCTTCACTAGAGTGATGCTGTTTGTGTGTAACCTGTAACTGGTCACATTTGCATTAGAGTAGGAAATTTCAATTTATTTTCTTAATGATAAAAGGATACTTCTTATGCTATTACCGATGCTTGAGCTTTCTGATCCGGTGAAATTGACTTTATTTCACCTCCATACATGTAATGTAGGCAGATTGTGGCCTGCAAAACTTAGGGCTGGGACTGGTAACTTGGGTGCTCGGTCCTCACAGGACTATTCGTACCCGTGGTTAGTCATGTGATTAATGTTTAATGACAATAACAATCAAACTCTCATGGGCTTTCTGCTACCCTGGGCAGAAGCCCATTTATGTAACAGGTGCATCTTTCTAAAAACAATAAAAGAAAAAAACCCCCAAAAAACCCCAATCAAACTCCATGGTTAAACTACAAGTCGCTAATTATGAATGTGTTCTTTGACTTTTGTATGTTTGAGTAGAGATAAAGCTTCTGTCAACATGATCAGATCGTTTTATGCATGTATCTTTCCAGGGCTACGGTAAAATAATTTTCAGTTGGAAACCTGCGGTACCAGGTAGTGCTGGTAATAGGGGTCTGGTACCCGGGTTGTAAATTTGGACTCATCCCAGCCCTAGCATATTTGTCGTGTAATCATTGTTACCGATAGAGGGGCGTTGAAACTATTTTGTGTCAACACAGATGAAATGTGGTGCTCTCTGATATAGAGGGGCGTTGAAACTATTTTGTGTCAACACAGATGAAATGTGGTGCTCTCTGATATAGAGGGGCGTTGAAACTATTTTGTGTCAACACAGATGAAATGTGGTGCTCTCTGATATAGAGGGGCGTTGGAACTATTTTGTGTCAACCCATTTGTAAGGTGGTGCAAACTGATATAGAGGGATGTTGGCACTATGTTTGCTTTTTTTATGGCATCATGATTGACATTTGAAGTGTTCCTGAATGGTACTGTTAACATACTCCATATTTATTCACAAAACATTACCCACACATTTACCTGAATATTTGCTGATGAAGTAATTTTGTCATCAGGGGGATGAGGCCCTGCTTGCTTGAGTGTTTGGGCTTGCCTGGAAAGGGGAGTTGCTTTCTTCTGGAAAGGTCTTGTGTTCATTGTTAACACTGATTGTTGTAGAGTACATGTTGTTGTTTTTGGTTCAGTCCTTCTGGGTGCGCTTCTACGGCATCATACAGGAAGTGTGTGATGTGAAGGAACAGGCAGAGGGTGGACCACAAGTTTACGGTAAGAAAACCCAGACGTGCGTACAGGGGGGAAATGGATTTTGCAGATTTTGCAGATTTTGCATGCAATGGTTCGTACAATAAATGATGTACATTTATGAATTGTATTGTGTTTTATTTTGACATTTTTAATTTGAAAATTCTCTGGCACCAAGATTAATGGCTAATGCAGCAATATTCAGATTCACTTGCTCATCACTCTTCTTGTTCAGTGAGCTGGTACTCACTGATGATGGATGGTAATGACGGCTAGGGGTGAAACATCTTCCTGAGGCAAGGGAGTTCACTGACTTTAAAAGTCCAGTTTCCACCCTTGCCGAACTAGGCTGGGATTATGGAGTTACATTTTGGCTGGACTAACGAGTCTATGCATAATCCTATCAAAATCGGGCTCTGAAATCGAAATCCAGTTCGTAAACTGTCATGCAGATTTCGGTCGATTGGAGGATTTGCAAAGCATGTGCACCACTAACTTGTTGTCAACAGATATTTTCTAAATCTTTTCATGTTTTTAATCAAGGTGCTCGCATGATTTGATGCACTCCGTGATGTAAGACTCGTTTTATCACAATATAGATTTTGATTATCGATCAGATCGACTTGACGGGGCGCCACCGTTTTGTTTGAAGCAAATGCAAGTGATACGAGGGGTGGAATTTGATTGGTCCATAGGAGAGGCATAGAGCTTGTAATAGCCACTGATCGAGCGCAGGAATTCCAGCCTCTCTGGACTTTTAATAGTCAGTTAACTCTCTTGTCTCGGGAAGATTGGGGTGAAACGGAGCACCGATGCATTGTGAGTTTTCATGTGACGATACGATACATGATACATTTTTATCTATATTGATACAAAATACAGTTGCTGAAAAAGATTACTTACTACTCTCTTAATGAATCCTGGTGTATTTGTCAGTCAGATATCGCAAAATGTGTTGTCATTGGCGTTTCAAGTTCACTACAAAAATAGCAACTGCAAACATGTGCCACAGCTAGCTTTTCCTGTTGAACCTGCTCTGAAATATTTATTGTCAAGAAGTTTCCATGCGATTTGACGTAAATATGGGTATCGTGATGCGTATCGTATTGAGACCTATGTATCGTGACTTTGCTGTATTATATCACTCCTAATAACGATACAACATTTCCATCTGGCCCAGTCGTCTAAGGTGCCGTGATTGGCTGTGCAGAGTTGCGTCGCTCGCTCGCTCGCTCACTCACTCACTCACTCACTCACTCACTCACTCACTCACTCACTCACTCACTCACTCACTCACTCACTCACTCACTCACTCACTCACTCACTCACTCACTCACTCACTCACTCACTTTAAATTAAAAGGCAGAAGTATGCAACCAGCCATGAAAGTGTTCTCTTTTCAGACAGTGACGTGTTCGTCAACCCTTCCGGCACCAAGCCCAAGAACCCTGTTGGGTTCAGCCTCTGGGTCATCACACACGTCGCCCATGTCTTCACAGTGGATGAAGCTGGCCATCCCAGGACTCTGGTCAGTCAGATTCCATCCTTTAGTTGATGATATTTTGTAATCATTCAGTTACTTTAGTTACTCATTACGTTTTTGTAATACTCAGTAATGAACTCTGTAGGAATTGTGTAGATGCAGGAAGATCAGTGTTCGTCATTTTGCCTTTTCCTCAGGAGCCACCGCACAGCAACTATTTCATCATGAAGAACATCTTACAGAAGAACCTGTCTTCAGTAAGTGATTTTCAAACATCTTAAAAACAATCCCTCGTACTGTACCCGTCTCCCCGCAGGCGATTGGGGTGAAGATGTTTGTGTGATGTGTGTGACTGATACAACTGGACTGCCTCTGTTGTCTAGTTGTAGAGCCTCTGTTGTCTAGTTGTAGAGCCTCTGTTGTCTAGTTGTAGAGCCTCTGTTGTCTAGTTGTAGAGCCTCTGTTGTCTAGTTGTGGAGCCTCTGTTGTCTAGTTGTGGAGCCTCTGTTGTCTAGTTGTAGAGCCTCTGTTGTCTAGTTGTAGAGCCTCTGTTGTCTAGTTGTAGAGCCTCTGTTGTCTAGTTGTAGATCATCCGCCTGGAGAGCGGAAGGTCAGGCTCATACCAAAAGATGTTAAGAGAAGATACTTGTTTCCCTGCCTGGCACTCGGGATATAGGGGATAAAACGACCAGTTGGCTCAGAGTTTACTGTGTCTGAGTGGGTATTCTTGTTAAACTGTATCTCAGTGGGCTAGCAGTATAAAATCACCTCACCTCACCTGATACTACTGTGGTTGTCTCCCTGCAGTCGACTGTGACGGAGCCGGAGATGCGGAGCTACCTCCTGTGCTGCCTGACTGTGGCCAGGCTGTGGGGACCGGAGACTTCACTCATAGCGCTCCTGTGGGACCACTTTTATCGTAAACTGGTGAGATTCATCTTTCATGACAAATACCACACGTGTATCTTTGAGTTGTATTTAGAAACTGTAGTATCAGTGAAGGTCCAGGATTCACTCATGGACTTCAAGTTCATTTTCGTTCTGGGACAGTGGCGTAGCCTAGTGGTTAAAGCGCTCTGTCGTCACGCCGAGAACCCGGGTTTGATTCCCCACATGGGTACAATGTGTGACGACCATTTCTGGTGTCCTCTGCCAGAATATTGCTGGAATATTGCTAAAAGCGGTGTAAAACCGTACTCACTCATTTTCTTTCTTTGAGTGCAATGTTTTGAGACAGTTATTTCTTTCTCAATGTTGGAAATTAGCTTTTATGGAAATCAGTCATATTTTGAAACAAAATTTGTTTCAGTCAGGATTCATTTTCAGAAAGATTCAAACAGACACTTGATAAATTACAATACATATTGTAACCTGACCCTGGAGATCAGTTGAGTAGTTTCATGTCTGGCTCACCTGACTGCAGGTCTTATAGTTGCTGTATGTGTTTCAGAACAACTCATTCCAAGTGTCGTCCACAAGCCTCGACGGACTGGCCCAGATCAGGTCAGTATCCTTCAGCCATTTTGTCACTGACGTATTCTTCAGGGTCACGGGACCATTGTACTGCATACTTGTTGTAGGATACGAGAGTGAAGACCAGATGTCATGATGTTGTAACCTGATTGTTTGTGTCTCTGTATTTGCTTTGTTTATATATATATATATATAGGAATGGGTGCTGTCCGTCCGTCCTTCCGTTCTTCCATCCTTCATTCCATCCGTCCGTCCGTCCGTCCGTCGGTCACATTTCGTTTCCGAGGCAGATCTTGAAAACCGTACCATATTTCTTCACATACTGTCACATGGATAGGTCTAGTGGTGAAATAGTGCCTTTTGATAGTTTGGATTTTAAAAAAAAATATTTTTCAAGTTTCCATGGCAACGACTTTGACTTAGACGGAAAATGGTGGTAGTCCTCGTTTCCGGAGCAGATCTTGAAAACCGTAACATATTTCTTAACCAAATGTGGCACATAGATAGGTGCTCCATCGCTCCTAATTGAAATAAAGAAGTTGTTCGTCCATATGTCTCATCCTTACTCATTACAAATACAGTTACATATTCTATCATAAACAGCAGATGGAAAAACAACACCAGTAATACTTTAAAACTTTTTTTAGTGCTGCAATTAGGCCATTTAGAAAAAGGCCCAGTGAACATAGTTCACAGGAGCTAATGCATTGCACACAACCGGACATGTCATATTGGCGGGGGATATGAGTATTTCATGCTTGTTATTTACTGATATAAGATAATACTGATTGTCTTATCACTCCACTTTTGGATGCGATCGTTCGGCCACTGTGTTTCATCTGTGTAGCACAGCTACATCAATGAGGAACAACTTACTGGACACTTCCCTTTTGAAAAAAATGTCGTCCAGTATGTGACTTCATCATGTTGCGAGGGCATATTCGAATCACCAAAATGATAGAACAATGTCTTATCGTGAAATAAACCATGCTTTGTTCTTCATTGTTCTTTGCGATATACCACGTAGTTATAGAAGAAAAGGTACAGAGAATTGAAGTGAGGATTGTGAGAATATACATGAAATACCAACTTTAACCCACCTGTTCGCAAAATGTGCCCCTCATAGTTTATTCGATCTCTCTGGCGTGTGTTTTATTGTACGATAAACAACTCTCACTCGACGTTTATTTCTCAAATAGATATGCAGAAATCACATGCATGAACACTACTGCAGTGAATAATGCACATCTCGCTATTTTAACTTTTCGCACATAGTGCTGTTGTAGACTTTTGGCACCATGTGGTTTCACTTGGAGCAGCACGTGAACGGATACAAATTAGGAGTAACTATAAATTACTAATTATAAATTATATAATATACTGCATACCCAAAGAAGATTATTACTACCCAATGAAAAGGATTATATGTAATATGCAGTCTGGTTTGCTTGTCGTGGTTAAACTCTAGGTTCAATTGTTGTGTCCCCTTGAGTTTTATTCTTGCAATGCAGCATGAGGGAACATGGAATTCCTATCCCTCACATTCTTCTTTTGATTTCAGCAAAACCTCCAAGACATTGCTGACTCAGTGTAAGAAATGGTGCGCCGAGGAAGAGAGGTAGGCCCCACTCGTGATGACAGCGTCTCATTCTTGAGAAAACGTCATTTTTTACAGGGAAGGGGTGGCTGACAGATTTTTGATCCACTAATGTAATGAAAATAATGACCCTCCCCTACTGCTTGTCCTATTTTTTCATGAACCTCCCAGAGGGAACAAAATGCAAATGCACTTTATGTTTTATTATAAAATGTCGATTTTAACATTACGTACCCTCCCCAACTATATGTATTATGTTTTATGCCCCCTCCCCGAAAGAGGGACCCTACCCTGATTCCTTCTGACCCACCCTATAATAAATGGCCGGTCCCTTAAATGTTCATCATTAATATTGATTAAAGAGAGACTATGCGACAATACCAGCCTGTGTAAAGACAGAGTTGTTTATGTGAAACGTTGCCTTTGTCTCTGTTCAATCAGACTAAGTGGTGTTTCAGCTACTGATCTTGCTAGGATGACCTGTTTCCCAGGCCGTCACACATCAGCCATGTGTTACTTAAAACAGGAACAACTCAAACTGCCCATTGAAATCAGAGTCAAATGACACAAATAAAAAGTATGCACAACAAAACATGCGTATTGGCCAGCTTAAAACATCACCGCAAATGTCTATGTATTCGATATGTACAAATGGAAAGATTTGTAACTGTTTTTATTTTTGGGCTTTTTTTACTTTTTTTGTCAGTGACTGTCTTGAGTAGAACACGTAATACATGTGAAAAGTACAGTTGGAGGTTTGTGTTCGTAGCTTGGAGAAAGAGAACAGCTTCCACCTGTTTCTGTGTCTGATGGCGACACAGATTTCGCGGCTCATGAAGTCAGGAGCTGTGCAGGAATGGCGACAGATGAAGGGGAGGTAACTGGAGATGGACTTACAGTTCATATTAGCATATGTTGTGCCAGATGTCCCTTGATGTAGTCTGCTGTAGTAGATTAATCCTGGGGCCTCTTGACATCAGTTCTGACAGGGGCCTTTGAAGGTCATGGCTAGAATTGGATCTTCAGCAACAATGCTTGTTGTAAGAGGCCACTAACATAACTCAACTCACTGACTTGGTTCATGCATGTCATCGTATCCCAATTGCGAGCGATGCTCATGATGTCAATCACTGGTATTTCTCGTCCAGACTTGATTATTTACAGACAGCCGTCATATAGCCAGAATATTGCTGAGTGTGACGTTAAACAAGAAACAAACAAACAAGGTTACTATGATTTCAGCGGTCAACTGTCCTCTCAGTGTTCCTGTCTATTAACAAACATTCAAAATTGTGGTTAATAGGCTACAAAATCTTACTGTTTATAATAATATAGTGTATACTGATAGTTCTCTCAGTTAAACAAGTCACTGTATGGCTGAAATAACACTGATGGAATGTTAAAATGTACTCAGATCCGGGGTGGTATAGGTCTTCAGCAAACCATGCTTGCCGTAAAAGGCGACTAACGGGAACGGGTGGTCAGGCTTGGTAACTTGGTTGATGTATGTCATCGTATCCCAGTTGCCTGGATCCGTGTTCATGATGTCAGTCACTGGATTGTCTGGTCCAGACTTGATTATTTACAGACTGCTGTCATATAGCTGGAATATTGCTTAGTGCAACGTTAAACAACAAAGATACAAACGAATATAATGTACTCACTCACTCACACACTCAGTTAAACAAGGCTGTGGATAGCCTAGGAGTTACAGAACTGGTGAAGACTGAGGTTCTTCATGTGCCCTAGACAGGCTAATATAAAGCAGTGTCACAACCAACTCACTCCTAGTTACATGCTTTGTGTCAGATTCTGCTCCAAGTTCCACCAGCGTCGGATGCAGGAGCTGTCGGAGACGGGTCTGTACAACTTCACCTGTCTCTTCCTCACTCTAGCCAGCATCACAGAGCTGGAGGACATGGTGAGTCCTGCATAACATCGGTTTTCTTGTTTTAATCTTTACCTCACCTACTAAAAGTCAAGTCAGCATCGTCCGTCTGCTGTCTTCCTTCATGTACAATCGCCTCAGAAACCACTCGACCAATGAAGCTGAAATTTCTCATGCTTGTTCCCACAGCAATGATGATACCTCAATTTGTACAAGGGGCGGTCGGGTAGCCTAGTGGTTAAAGCGTTCGCTCATCATGCCGAAGACCCGGGTTCGATTCCTGACATGGGTACAATGTGTGAAGCCCATTTCTGGTGTCATCCGCCGTGATATTGATGGAATATTGCTTAAAGCAGCGTTAAACCATACTCACTCGCTCAATTTTTACAAGTGGTTGGAATCTGATTTTTCAATATGGTCGCCACTGCCACTACTGGACTATTTCTGGCTATTTCTCAGGCATTTTTGTTCAATATGTAATGCAATTTGATATGTTTAGTTGGTACTGACACTCAACACATATGTTATATTTTGGCATTGTTTCAATTTTAGTTTTTTTGACCGTGCACTTTCATTCCATCAAAATTCTTAGTTCGGCTCTTTAGCTTATTCTTTGGAATTTGTTTCAAGTCCTCAGTATTTTGCAGAAAATGTTGAGTATCAACGCTACAGCAACTTTTGGAAGTGGCTGTCTTTGTTGACATGTTTAATTCTTGACCACATGTCCAGGTGAGCTACAGTGGCATGGGCCTATGATTTAATTAAGTCTTTGAATGGCATTTACAAGTGACACTCATAAGAGAGGGAATTCATGAACGTGAACTTCTTTATTGTAACGAACACAACGTTTCGGAGTCAATGATCAGAATAAATCATTCGCCTGATGAAGGAGTAAGCATACACTCCGAAACGTTGTGTTCTTCATAATAAAGACATCCATAAATTCTCTCTCTTAGTATTTAATTGCTTACATTGAACCATGTGGATAGTAAACAGGTGAGTACTGTGAGGTTGGGCTGTATATTTCAGGGCAAGAAGCTGTGTGACTTCTACAGTATGTTAGACCCCAGTAACACGTCTTCGAACCGCCGCACCATCACGTGGATGGGTGGGCTGGCACTGTGCCAGATCTGCGGGGAGAGAAACACAGACATGGCATTTGTAGCAGACAAACTGGCGCCGTCCTTCAACTCAGTCTGCAGGTGGTTCAGAGTTCTTTATTCTTGGTTAATTTGCAGGAATTACAAGACAACTGGTTTGGGATGCCTGCTGAGGTTTTGTGTTTAATGCGTAACACAAAATTAGTTGTGGTATGTCAATTTTCTTTACAGTAGGGAGCACGGGTGGCCCAGTCGTCTAAGGCGCTGCGATTCGCTTTGCAGAATTGCATCCCTTGGGCATGCCAGAAACCTATGATTGTGGGTTCGAATCCTGGTCCGCCCCGATTATGTTTCTAGGTGGTAGACGAAGTGGTAAACGTCCGAGACCTGCATCACTTCCGGCTTTCCTCCCACATTAGCTGACATGCCATGATATAACTGGAATACTGTTAAAAGCGGCGTTAAACCGCTCACTCACTCACTTTACAGCACTTGGCCTTTTACCGGCTCTTCAATCATTTGCTGCCACTGACATCACTTACAACAATCTCTACTCCCACACCACACATGCTTTTTAGTGCCATTTGACGAGGGCCACTGGTGGGGCGGGATACACTCACCTCTTCACAGATACCTAGTATCATCACTGTTTGATAGTGATTTATATACACAGGCCTGTAAATTAGGCGATGTTGTACAGTGGACTCTGCTTTTAACAGGGATTTATAATGATTATGGAAAGGTTTTTGTCTCCTTTATTTATATATGTCACTATTGGGACAAGTAAATATTTTAGGTAAACTTGCATCCCTGGGCTCGATTGTTTACAAACGTTGCGGCGTAAAACAACAGTCACTCACTTCCAGACAACAGTCCAGCGTAAACAAGGTATCAGTGAGCTCATGTAGACTTGGTGATGATGTATGAAAGACCATGTTATCCCCCTGAAGACAGATATTGTCACATTAGAGCTTTGTACCGAGCCCTGTTAGAATATACATAAAGAGAGAAAACAGTCTGCAAATTTGCAGATGTTTGTGTGTCATGTTTCAGGGAATTCTCGGACTCAGGGCTTGACCCACAGTGCCGCCACGCCCTGTGGAGGATGGTGAGTTTGTACCTAGAGGGCTTGCAGGACGTCTTTGAGGCCAGCTCCTCGCTTACAGCTTCAGAGTACAGGTTACTGGGTGAGTTCAGGTTACTGGGTGAGTACAGGTTACTGGGTGAGTACAGGTTACTGGGTGAGTTCAGGTTACTGGGTGAGTACAGGTTACTGGGTGAGTACAGGTTACTGGGTGAGTTCAGGTTACTGGGTGAGTTCAGGTTACTGGGTGAGTTCAGGTTACTGGGTTAGTACAGGTTACTGGATTAGTTCAGGTTACTGGGTGAGTACAGGTTACTGGATTAGTTCAGGTTACTGGGTGAGTACATGTTACTGGGTGAGTTCAGGTTACTGGGTGAGTACAGGTTACTGGGTGAGTTCAGGTTACTGGGTGAGTACAGGTTACTGGGTGAGTTCAGGTTACTGGGTGAGTACAGGTTACTGGGTGAGTTCAGGTTACTGGGTGAGTACAGGTTACTGGGTGAGTACAGGTTACTGGGTGAGTTCAGGTTACTGGGTGAGTTCAGGTTACTGGGTGAGTACATGTTACTGGGTGAGTTCAGGTTACTGGGTGAGTTCAGGTTACTGGGTGAGTACAGGTTACTGGGTGAGTTCAGGTTACTGGGCGAGTACAGGTTACTGGATTAGTTCAGGTTACTGGGTGAGTACATGTTACTGGGTGAGTTCAGGTTACTGGGTGAGTACAGGTTACTGGGTGAGTTCAGGTTACTGGGTGAGTACAGGTTACTGGGTGAGTACAGGTTACTGGGTGAGTTCAGGTTACTGGGTGAGTTAAGGACATTTGGGAAGCGTGTTCATTGTCAGGTTTATCTGAACTGACGCAGGGTTGCTAACAGGAGGAAATGCTGATGTCAGGTTGACAGAATGTACCTAATAACAAAACAAAGTCAACAAATGTCTTGATTAATGTAGTTGTTTCTTGTGAGTAGTTCAATGTCAGTGTGCCATCTCCAGGAGAGGATCTGAGTCTGGTGTTCCGGGTCTGCCGAGATGGGGAGCTCCGCTTTGTCCTTAACTCTCTACACATGATAGTCAGCAAGTTCAGGTGAGCTATGCTTTCACCCTCAACTCTCCACACACATGATAGTCAGGATGTTTAGGTGAGCTATACTTTTCCCTCAACTCTCTACGCATGATCGTAGTTAAGTTCAGGTAAGCTATGTTTCCACTCAACTCTCTACACATGACAGTCAGCAAGTTCAGGTGAGCTATGCTTTTCCCTCAACTCTCTACACATGACAGTCAGCAAGTTCAGGTGAGCTATGCTTTTCCCTCAACTCTCTACTCACATGATAGTCAGCAAGTTCAGGTGAGCTATGCTTTTCCCTCAACTCTCTACATGTGATAGTCAGGATGTTCAGGTGAGCTATGCTTTTCCCTCAACTCTCTACACGTGATAGTTAGGATGTTCAGGTGAGCTATGCTTTTCCCTCAACTCTCTACACGTGATAGTTAGGATGTTCAGGTGAGCTATGCTTTTCCCTCAACTCTCTACACATGACAGTCAGGATGTTCAGGTGAGCTATGCTTTTCCCTCAACTCTCTACACGTGATAGTCAGGATGTTCATTTCAACAAGAGTAAGAGCAGTTTGATTGTCCTTGTTTAGGGGAGCTCATCTTCCCGAGGCAAGGGAGTTAACTGACTATAAAAGTCCTGTTTCCACACTTGCTGAACTAGGCCGAAATGTTTAGGTTCAATTGTAACGCCAACAGTGGCTACTACGAGTTATGTCCCTTCTGTGTCCCACCTACTGACCAATCAGATTCCATCTCTCATATCACTTGCTTTGCTTCAAACAAAATGGCAGCTCCTAGTGAGGGAGTCAACCGGATGTTAATTTTTTTATGCGACTTTGATTGGACTATGCATAGACTCGTTATTTCAGCCAAAATATAACTCAATAATTGCAGCCTTGTTCAGCAAGGGTGGAAACTGGACTTTTATAGTCAGTTAACTCCCTTGCCTTGAGAAGATGAGCTAGGGGAGCTAGGGTACGAGGTTGTTACAACTAAGACTGATTTGCTTCCAGGAGTGTCCTGCAGCCAGACACCAGCTCCGATGCAGCAGTGCAGCCTCGACTGAGGGAGGATCAACACCAAGGTTGTACAAGGAGATGCTGGGTTAATAATACGTCCCTAGTTCCCCTTGCTGGTCATCACAGCCAACTAAGGGGATTGGTCAGACCGGGCCTCAACTCCATGTTTGGCAGGCAGCCACTAGGCAGTATCCCTTGAATTATCCACTGAAGTATCCCTTGAATTATTCCTTGAAGTATCCCTTGAATTATTCTTTGAAGTATTCCTTAATGTATCCCTTGAATTTTTCCTTGAAGTATTCTTTGAATTATTCCTTGACATATCCCTTGACATATTCCTTGAAGTATCCCTTGATTTATTCCTTATAGTATTCCTTGAATTATTCAAGTATTCATTGAAGCATCCCCTAAAATATTCCTTGAAGTATTCCTTGAAGTATCCCATAACATATTCCTGGAATTATTCCTTCTGTTGACAGCCATATCCTCCTATCTGTGGCTGTACATCTACCCCGCCGTCAAGGACCACTCCACCACGCTGACCCCGCCCCTCAGTCTGGCCGACCTCGCCGCCAACCTCGCCCTCATGGCCAGAGACCAGTAAGCGGCTTTGTGTCTATTCCACAGTTGCTATGGTAACAATAGCTATCATGGAATGTATTTGTACTCATTCAACTTCCCAATCAGGATTCCAGTTGGTCACAAGGTCCTGGCAGATAGTGTCATTAGACCCCAGGATCCTCTCACACCCCGGACTATTGGCAGATTGCCATGGTGGATGGAATATTGCTGACTGAGGCATAAAACAACATTCATTCACTCACTAAATTTTTTATTAGCTCACCTAACTGAGAGATGCAAATACAAGTTTCATTTTCTCATACTGGAATAATGTGTCTCCATAGTAATGTGAAGAGTTGTGAGATCAACATTTTAAATAAGTTACTTCTTTGTGTCCTCAGTATTTGCTCAGAAAATACTTGAATCTCAATGCAGACTGCAGCGTTTGTTAAGTGGATGTCTTTGTGGACATTTTAAACTGTGGACGACATATCCAGGTGCTGTGGCACTGTTTTCACACACGACCAGACTGAAAGATTTTATGGATGTTTCTGTCAATCCATCAAATCACCCACGGAATCCTAGTGACCATGTTAATTATCCTGCCTGATGTTGCAGACCTCCGTCCATGAGACCGACGCGAGAAGACTTCCAGTCAGTTTTTCAACACTTCAGCTCTAAAGAGTCTGTTCAAGTCAGGTAATGCCAGAGTTTGCCCCGGTATTTGGAAAGAGGGTTGGTTTGGTAACTCGCTAACACCTTCACAAGCAATGAAGAGTCTAGAACTTGATATTATGCGGTAGGCCTTGTCAAATAGAGCAAGGTAATCTACACTGTAGGATGACAGGGATTTGTTTCTGTGTGTCTCTGTCCGTCCATGAAAGATGGGATTTCTGGAGCAGATCTTGAAAACCGTACAGCATTTTTGTACCAAATTTGATACATTGATAGGTCCAGTGGTGAACTAATGCCTTTTGATATTTTGGGATTTTTAAAAAAATGTGTTTTTCGAATTTCCATGGCAACAACTTTGACTTAGGCTGTAAATGGCAGTAGGGCTTGTTATCAGAGCAGATCTTGAAAACCGTACACTATTTCTTCACCAAACTTGGCACATAGATAGGTTTAGTGGTGAACTGGTGCCTTTTGATAATTTGGGATTTTTTAAACAAATATTGTTGGAGTTTCCATGGCAACAAGTTTCATATATTTATCCATAACTAGTTTTTGCCATTGCATGGGATGTCGATGATTTTGTCCTCTTATTAACTATTGTAACTCTACTGCAGTAGTAACATTGCCCCTACCTTTAACCATTACTCCTTTTTTGAACTATTACAAATTAAAACTATTATGAAGTCATTCAGTCAATGTGGAGGTGATTTGACTGAACACAATTCCTCATCTCTCCAGCATCAGCTGCCACTTCCTGTGCCAGGTCCTGTGTGAGGATGGAATTATGGACTACATGATTTCAACCAATCAGAATGCTCAGACCCAGTTGCTGCAGGCTTGGTTCAGATGTGTCCTATTACTACCAGCATCATCAGCCCAACTAAACACATTGACGAGGTAAAGATGGAGTGAGTGAGTGAATGGAATTTAATTGTGTATATGATGCTATATCTGACCTTGTACAGACGTATCAGTGGTTGATGGCGTGAGCACTGATGTACGGTCGGGGCATGATGACACATGGCTGTCCAGAGCTGCTACAGCTCATTCTGTGGCGCTATGCTTGTCATAAGAGGCGACTATCAGGATCGGGTGGTCAGGCTCGCTGACTTGGTTGATGCATGTCATCAATCACAATTGCGGGGATCGATGTACATAATGTCAATCACTGGATTGTCTGGTCCAGGCTCGATTATTTACAGACCGCCGTCATATAGCTGGAATAATGTTGAGTGCGGCATTAAACTACAAAAAAAAAAAAAAAAAAATTATTTAAGAATTAATCAAAACATTGAGAACACAATTTATAACCAATATTCAGCCATGATCAGAATGTGTTTGTTTGTTTGTTGATTAATGTCGAACTCAGCAGTATTCCAGCTTTATGACTGTGGTCTGTAATCAATTATAGACCAGACAATCCAGTGATTGACATCATGAGCATCGTTCCACTCATTTGGGATACGATGACATGCATCAACCAAATCAGAGAGGCTGACCACCCGATCCTGTTAGTCGCCTCTTACAACAAGCATAGTCACCTATTACAGCAAGCATGGGTGGCTGAAAACCTGTTCTACCCCGGATCTTCAGGGGTGTTACACAACATGGGCTGTGCAAGTCTTTGACCCAGGTTCATGGAGGTGTGGGTAAAGACATCATGGGTCTTGGTCTTGCACTTGTATATGCAAGAAGTCAAACCCTGTGCATTCATTCTCCTGGTTTGCTGAGGCTCCTGTAACCATGGTAACAAGGGTTTGATGTGTTTGTCAGTATTGCCCTTGGCATCCCGGACATCAAGAAGGTGTTTGAGTTGGCACGAGCAGCGATCCCCACCGACATGGAGGAGGCCCCCAAGATGTTCCTGAAGGCTCTCGGAAAACTCTACTCCAACACACAGGTAACTCACCTGCCTCTACTCTAACACACAGGTAAGTTACCTGCCTCTACTCTAACACACAGGTAACTCACCTGCCTCTACTCTGACACACAGGTAACTCACCTGCCTCTACTCCAACACACAGGTAACTCACCTGCCTCTACTCCAACACACAGGTAACTCACCTGCATCTACTCCAACACACAGGTAACTGACCTGCATCTGCTGTAACACACAGGTAACTGACCTGCCTCTACTCTAACACACAGGTAACTCACCTGCCTCTACTGTAACACACAGGTAACTCACCTGCCTCTACTCTAACACACAGGTAACTCACCTGCCTCTACTCTAACACACAGGTAACTCACCAGCCTCTACTCTAACACACAGGTAACTCACCTGCCTCTACTCTAACACACAGGTAACTCACCTGCCTCTACTGTAACACACAGGTAACTCACCTGCCTCTACTCTAACACACAGGTAACTCACCTGCCTCTACTCTAACACACAGGTAACTCACCAGCCTCTACTCTAACACACAGGTAACTCACCTGCCTCTACTCCAACACACAGGTAACTCACCTGCATCTACTCCAACACACAGGTAACTGACCTGCATCTGCTGTAACACACAGGTAACTGACCTGCCTCTACTCTAACACACAGGTAACTCACCTGCCTCTACTGTAACACACAGGTAACTCACCTGCCTCTACTCTAACACACAGGTAACTCACCTGCCTCTACTCAAACACACAGGTTACTCACCTGCCTCTACTGTAACACACAGGTAACTCACCTGCCTCTACTCTAACACACAGGTAACTCACCTGCCTCTACTCTAACACACAGGTAACTCACCAGCCTCTACTCTAACACACAGGTAACTCACCAGCCTCTACGCTAACACACAGGTAACTCACCTGCCTCTACTCTAACACACAGGTAACTCACCTGCCTCTACTGTAACACACAGGTAACTCACCTGCCTCTACTGTAACACACAGGTAACTCACCTGCCTCTACTGTAACACACAGGTAACTCACCTGCCTCTACTCTAACACACAGGTAACTCACCTGCCTCTACTCTAACACACAGGTAACTCACCTGCCTCTACTCTAACACACAGGTAACTCACCTGCCTCTACTCTAACACACAGGTAACTCACCAGCCTCTACTCTAACACACAGGTAACTCACCAGCCTCTACGCTAACACACAGGTAACTCACCTGCCTCTACTCTAACACACAGGTAACTCACCTGCCTCTACTGTAACACACAGGTAACTCACCTGCCTCTACTCTAATGCACAGGTAACTCACCTACCTCTACTCTAACACATAAGTAAAATTTAACTTCCAAGGGTGCCGTTAGTGCAAAACAAACTCAGTGCTACGACTGTCGTAAGTCAATGTAAATGTATAGGAGTTACGATCACCTTAGCGCTAAGATTGCTCTGTACAACAGCATCCAGGCCTCTACACAAACTGTACTCTAACACACAGGTAACTCACCTGCCTCTACTCTAACACAGAGGTAACTCACCTGCCTCTACTCTAACACACAGGTAACTCACCTGCCTCTACTCTAATGCACAGGTAACTCACCTACCTCTACTCTAACACACAGGTAACTCACCTGCCTCTACTCTAATGCACAGGTAACTTTCCTTCCTCTACTCTAACACAAAAGTAAAACTTAACTTCTCAGGGTGCCGATGTATGCTGTTGCTACGGCTGTTGTAAGTCTGTGTTAAGGTGTAGGAGTTACAATCACCTTTGTGCTAAGATCACTCTGTACAACGGCAAATAAAAAAAAATGAATTAAGAACACTGGGAATTTTATTTTCAAAAGCATTATTTTTTGCAATTCCCTGAAATGTAATCGTCGTTATTCACATCAAAACAAATTGTGCACACATTGTGAACTCATACTGAAAAAGCAACAATTCAGTTTAATAACTTTGGCCACAGATTCTGATAAATAACAAAACAAATCTTAAAGGTTATATTTCATCTTACTGCTGCCCACCTACTTCATACAAGTGAATCTGTACTCCAAGGAGAGAATGGGGCTGACTGACTGACGCTGACGTCGATGATGTCCATGTTTCAGGACCTGCGGGAGAAGATGCTGCTGCGGGAGAAGGTGATGGGGTACTTCTCCAATGTCCCCCAGCACATCTCCCCAATCCTGCGCAACATGGGGCCCGTCGACACCCTCACCTCACTCTACTCCAGCGTCGGCCACCTCATCAAGTACTGCTCTCCCCTGCTGTTTGCACAGGTGGGTCGGGGAGTCAATCTCACTATAGTTTTACAATCATTTCACCTTTTTTATGAAAGCAAATTCTATTAATGGCTGAGTGAAGTCCCATGGTCGGTAAAGTGAATTATGTTTGAGTGTGCCACAGAGCAGATGTTACGATGTTCAATGTGCCCTTTGGAAGAATACTTTTGATAGATTTCAAAAAATAGTTTTGAATCAATACTGTGTGACAATCAATGACACTCGCTGGTCACTACACGTATCATGGCATAACAAGTCAGTCACACTGACAGCTGGCTGTTATGAAAGTACTGGTTGTGACCTTTACCATAAGCTGTGGTCCATCTTTGAACTCAGTGAATGTCATTCACCATGAGCTAGGTACTACGCAGTGTACTAAGTCCAAAGTTGTCCCACTTCAGTTTCATTGAGACTGACATGTTTCAATTACTGAATCACCAGGTTAGGTTGTGGAGCATTCTGTTCCATAAGCTCATTTTCTTCAGATCTTAACAGAGGTATTGAATCTGGATAAAAGATCTGATTTACTGAGATTGCTTCCCAACTGCCATATTTCATGAAGAGTTGGGTACAGATGTCATCCATTCTTCCTTTTTGATGAAGACGAGCAAGCAGACTTCAAAACTTCTAGATGTTGTTTTCAGTCCAAGACGGACTGTCCGCTGCCTGCTATCATCAACGCCATGATTGTGCCCCACTTTCTGTTCAAGACCGACAAGCCAGTGAACCCAGTGTTTCTCAGCGCAGTCAGGGCAAACCTCCACCTGGTAGGGATGTGTTGATGGAAGTGTAGCTCACCTGCACTTCTTGGGGATATGTTGATGGAAGTGTAGCTCACCTGGTAGGGATGTGTTGATGGAAGTGTAGCTCACCTGCACTTCTTGGGGATATGTTGATGGAAGTGTAGCTCACCTGGTAGGGATGTGTTGATGGAAGTGTAGCTCACCTGGTAGGGACATGTTGATGGATATGTAGCTCACCTGCATCTGGTAGGGATATGTTGATGGAAGTGTAGCTCACCTGCACCTGGTAGGGACATGTTGAAGGAAGTGTAGCTCACCTGCACCTGGTAGGGACGTGTTGATGGAAATGTAGCTCACCTTCACCTGGTAGGGACATGTTGATGGAAGTGTAGCTCACCTGCACCTGGTAGGGACATGTTGATGGAAGTGTAGCTCACCTGCACCTGGTTGGGATATGTTGATACAAGTGTAGCTCACCTGCACTTCGTAGGGATGTGTTGATGGAAGTGTGGCTCACCTGGTAGGGATGTGTTGATGGAAGTGTAGCACACCTGGTAGGGACATGTTGATGGAAATGTAGCTCACCTGCACCTGGTAGGGACATGATGATGGAAGTGTAGCTCACCTGCACCTGGTAGGGACATGTTGATGGAAGTGTAGCTCACCTGCACCTGGTGGGGATATGTTGATAGAAGTGTAGCTCACCTGCACCTGGTGGGGATATGTTGATAGAAGTGTAGCTCACCTTCACCTGGTTGGAATGTGTTGGTGGAAATGTAACTCACCTTTACCTGGTAGGGATGTGTTGATGGAAGTGTAGCTCACCTGAACCTTATATGGATGTGTTGATGGAAATTTAGCTCACCTGAACCAAGGTTCTACTGAGATTATAGCATGGCGCATTTTCCGTCATCTTCAGGAGTCCATCTGTTCATAAACTTTTGACGTCTTGTCTGAACAGTGTCATGGAAGAGCCTGACACTAGGAGCATGTCTAGCACTGTGATAGGACTCGGATTTGGCATTATAAACAACATTTTCAGTCTTTTGATGCAAAAGCAGAAAAAAATTGGAAAGTCTTTGAAAACCTTATTGGTTACCCTAATTATTCATACTATGCAAGGCATTTCATCTTTTCGTGCCCTTCCACAAGAGCTTACATGATGTTCTACTATCTGACCTGTTTACAGTTTGTCCAAGGCCTTGGTAAGCTGGACTACAAGAGGGCTCCCTATGTTCAAAGACGTCTTGGTGATATTGTCAGTCTGTACTTCACACGATTTCCCCTGGTAAGTTGTGGCCTTTGTTTTAATCAACACGACCTCTAACACACACAGACACACAAAGAATGTACTTATATTTCCTCATGGTGTCTTCCTAGAACTGTTATCATCAGGGGATGACCCAGGTGGCCTAATCACCTACGGCACCGTAGTTTGCTGTGCAGAGTTGCTTCCCCTAGGCATGCCAGGATCTGTTGATTGAATCTCAGATGCCCTGACTGTGATCCTGGTTTATTACATCACTGGTGCTTGTGGGTTCCACTTTGTGGTAAGGCCTGCATCACCTCAGGCTTTCTCCCCACAGTAAGCTGACCCGTGAAGATTCCAGGGTAGAATAGATCTTCAGCAACCCATGCTTGCCGTAAAAGGTGACTAAGCTTGTCGTAAAAGGCAACTAACGGGATTGGGTGGTCAGGCTCGCTGACTGGGTTGATACATGTCATCGATCCTAATTGAGTGGATCGATGCTCATGATATTAATCACTGGACTGTCTGTCCAGACTCGATTATTTACAGATCGCTGTCATATAGCTGGAATATTGCTGAGGGCGGCGTTAAACAACAAACCAACCAACCCCACAGTAAGCTGGTATCCCTCCAATAACTGAGATACTGTTTGGAGAAATTAGACCAACTTACTGTCTGTAGGTTTCCACGATAGTCTCAAACACTATTACCGAATTCGACGTAATAAGCACCCCCCTCTATAAGCGCCCATGGCGATATTTGCTAATATACTTGCTAGTGAACAATCTCAATCAGCACCCCTTCTGATTGATCAATGTAAGACTTATTTATTTGTGTATAATACACACTCGTGTGTTATATGCACCCTCAATTATGGGCAATTTAAAACTGGAAAAATATATCTGTCATATATAAACATTTCAGGCTGTCAGCATAAACCACGAAACCATCTTTCAACTTTTTTCACCAAAATACTATTTTGATAAGAGCCCCCTATTTCTAATTTTGAGAGCGCCCTGGGCGCGTATTACGGCAAATACGGTATTTAACATCATTTCAGGAATTATGAGATAAGTTGTCTACTGAGATTTGTGTTACCTTGTTGGTAGTCAAGGCTAAAATGTACTTCATGCTTGTCCTAGGAGCTGAGTAGATTGAGGATTGGATGGCTTTCAATGTATTACTTGACTGAATGTGTGTCATAGTACCTAAACAGTGAGGTTCTTTGCTTATGCTGTCAACCGCTGCCTCATAAGGCAGCTTGGCTGGAATACTCCCCAGGAAGCTGAGAATGAAATTCACCTAGCTAATACCAATACAGGACCATGAGCATTGACTTGGTGAATGGGGCGGTCGGGTAGCCTAGTGGTTAAAGTGTTCGCTTGTCACGCCGAAGACCCGGGTTTGATTCCCCACGTGGGTACAATGTGTGATGCCTATTTCAGGTGTCCCCTGCCGTGATATTCCTGGAATATTGCTAAAAGTGGCGTAAAACAATACTCACTCACTTGGTTAATTGAATGGTGCATTTTAAGCTTTTGTATATAATTATTACCTGGCCTAGACTGCATTATTTACAGGCTGCTGTGGTGTAGGTGACAATAATATTACAACACTCAGTTGCTTGCTGACAATGTAGCAGTGTCCAAGGATGTATGTCCATCTTCTGAGCAGCGTCTTTTGCTTGTTTTGTCAGAAATCTACTGGGTCCAGTGCGACGGCTGTGCATCCCTTGGTTGTGAGTACTCCTACTTCTACTTCATGGTGTGACAAGGTGGTGGGGAAGTCCAGTGGTTAAATCATTCGCTCACCATGGCTTAGACCCGGGCTCGATTCCCCACATGGGTACAATATGTGAAGCCCATTTGTGGTGACGCCCGCCGTGATATTCCTGGAATACTGCTATAAACGGCGTAAAACAATACTCACTCACACACTCATAGTGTGACACTCTTTTCACTGTGAGCCAGCTGTGCTTGATTCCGGAGAAACAAGAAACCATTCCTCACAGAGAGTTTGACATCTCTTGTAACATCCATATGTTAACATGTAGTAGGGACACTGGCAGTGTGAAGATCACTTTATGAATGTGGAATTCAAGGTCACAATGGCGGCTCTGTATGAATTATGTCAGTTAACTACCGCCTTTAGGCTTAGACCTCTCTCATTACCCGTAAGAGGCCACTAACGGGATCGGGTGGTCAGGTTAGCTAACTCTTTGATGCATGTCATTGTATCCCGATTGCGTACACGATGCTCATGATGTCAATCACTGGATTTTCTGGTCCAGACTCGATTATTTACAGACCGCCGTCATATAACTGGAACATTGCTGAGTGCAGCATTAAACAACAAACACAAAACAAACAAACAAGTCTCATTATCCATAGCCATTCCAGGTTAGAGTAGTTCTTCAGCAACCTCTGCTTGTCATGAGTGATGACCGAATGGATCCAGTCCTCAGACTCGCTGACCGCGTGTCATTGTACAGAAATCACATAGGACATTGCTCATGTTATCAACCACTGCTCTATGTGATCTAGAATCAATTATTTATGTGTTGTTATACCTAGAATATTGCTTACTGCAGTGTTAGATAACAAACCAACAAACAAACCTGTCTTCATTGAGTTAACAACGTTCCTTGATTGAGAACATCTTTTTTTCCTACTTTAGTTATTGGTATTTGAAATTTGTGTGTTTTGTTGTCCAGAGTTCATTGTATGGGTCGTGCGTCCAGTCTCCGAGCCCTGAGTCGGTGGATCTCCGCCATCTTGTCCTTGAGATGGTTCACAACAACTACCTCCAGTTGAAGAACCAGACCCTGCCGCCGTCTGCCAGCGCTGTCAGTGTCCTCTCCACATCTACGATTGTCTTTTTGTATTTTCATGTGGTTAACTATAATAATATCATTATGATAACATGTGAAATGACCTTAACAAGAAATATTAACCTGCTAAGCAATCATATTGAAATCAGATCTTAGTTCTTGCTACCGCGAAACAAAGATCTGAGAACACCTCATTAGAGGTCACATTGGAATGACCTTGCGCGAACTTTGACCGACCAGTGGAATGACTGACCAGAAGTCGACATTAGCCAATCAGAAGGCAGCTTTTTCGTGCTCTATGGCACTAATTTCAAATTGGCGACTACGCTTCGAAACATATTTTGACAAATTCTCAATTAGAAATTTGAAACCTGAACAAAAGAACAATCTGGAATGGCTAATAGATGGTCTAGCTTGTATGGATTCAGTCGTTAAGCCCGTAACTATTCGGAATACCACTTGTTAAAGTTTTCGAGGTTGCATGATTAGAAATCACATTCCGACTGCCACTTTCATGATCTGGTAAGCGACGCTCTGATTGGTTGGGTGAAAGGTCATTCTGACGTGACCTCTAATGGGATGTCCTCAGATCTTTGTTTAGCGGTAGCCAGAACGAAGATCTGATTTTAATGAGATTGTCTGCTCTGTGTCCAGACTCCATAGGATAACAATTAAGTGGAAGAAAGTACATAATATACCAACTGGTGAAAAAGCAGGTGTAAATGTGGTCCATTTAATTCTTCCCAAAAAAGATATCAGCGTTCAAAAACTTTATGTTGCGTTTTGATAAAACTGGCTATTTCTCCTTGGAAAAGCACATCAACTTTTCAAATGATGTAGCATTTTGTGATGACCTGTCTTCCAGTGTTTATGGGACAGAATGTGCGTGCCAGACAATGATGGTGAGGTGCCCAGTGCTTCCTGACAATTTGTGATGTTAGACCCAACTCTGTCAGCACCAAACCCCGTGATACACATGTGATGTTAGACCCAACTTTGTCAGCACCCAACCCCGTGATACACATGTTATGTAAGACCCAACTCTGTCAGCACCAAACCCCCGTGATACACATGTGATGTTAGACCCAACTTTGTCAGCACCCAACCCCGTGATACACATGTGATGTAAGACCCAACTTTGTCAGCACCCAACCCCGTGATACACATGTGATGTAAGACCCAACTTTGTCAGCACCCAACCCCGTGATACACATGTGATGTAAGACCCAACTTTGTCAGCACCCAACCCCTTGATACACATGTGATGTTAGACCCAACTTTGTCACCACCCAACCCCGTGATACACATGTGATGTAAGACCCAACTTTGTCAGCACCCAACCCCGTGATACACATGTGATGTAAGACCCAACTTTGTCAGCACCCAACCCCGTGATACACATGTGATGTAAGACCCAACTTTGTCAGCACCCAACCCCTTGATACACATGTGATGTTAGACCCAACTTTGTCACCACCCAACCCCGTGATACACATGTGATGTAAGACCCAACTTTGTCAGCACCCAACCCCTTGATACACATGTGATGTTAGACCCAACTTTGTCACCACCCAACCCCGTGATACACATGTGATGTAAGACCCAACTTTGTCAGCACCAAACCCCGTGATACACATGTGATGTAAGACCCAACTTTGTCAGCACCCAACCCCGTGATACACATGTTATGTAAGACCCAACTTTGTCAGCACCCAACCCCGTGATACACATGTGATGTAAGACCCAACTTTGTCAGCACCCAACCCCGTGATACACATGTGATGTTAGACCCAACCCCTTGATACATGTGATGTTAGACCCAACCCCTTGATACACATGTGATGTTAGACCCAACCCCTAGATACATCTGATGTTAGACCCAATCCCTTGATACACATGTGATGTTAGACCCAACCCCTTGATACATCTGATGTTAGACCCAACCCCTTGATACACATGTGATGTTAGACCCAACCCCTTGATACGTCTGATGTTAGACCCAACCCCGTGCTACATGTGTGATGTTAGACCCAACTCACTCCCTGTTCTAGGGTTTGGCCTACGTCACCGAGGTGCTTCAACGAACTAAAGGAGGGGAGGTAATCGCAAAGTGAGTGAATGTACAGGAACAGAAATCCTGATATTGGCTGCTTTTCGGAGCTGATTAATTAATACATAAAACTGCTTCAATAAAATAACAACAGGTGCATTTAATGTATACTTTTGCCTAAATCTCTTTCTCTTTTTACACATGCCTACATACAGAGCATGTAAAGCATGCGGAAATATTTAATTTAATAAAATACTCAGTCTTTACAAATTGAAATGGGCAGATTTTGGGGGGATTTGACTCAAAAGATTTAGTATCGTATCTTTTGTATATATATATATATATATATATATATATCTTTTTAGAGACAGCAGGCTCCTGATTCGCACGTCCATGGAGTATATGCTGTTGGCGCCGTCACCTGCCCTGAAGCAACACTCCACTCACATCACCAAGCACCTGCTGGAGGCCTGTGCCCAGAACCCCACCGTTGTACCTGTGTAGGTGTAGCGAGGAGGGACACGATATATGTAGCTGTCTTAGTAGACTGTCAGCCTGGAGAGCCGAAGTTGGGGGATCAATCCCCAGCCGCGTCATACCAAAAGACGTTAATAGATGGAATTGTTGTTACCCTGCCTGGCGCTCGGCATTAAGGGGCCAAAACAAGGACTGGTCAGCTCGGAGTCAGTATACTTTGTCTGAGTGGGGTATTCATGTTAAAGTGTGGCATGGTATCTGAGCGGGCTAGCAGTATAAAATCGGCATCAGTCCAGACTAGTACAATCTCTCTCTCTCTCTCTCTCTCTCTCTCTCTCTCTCTCTCACACACACACACACACACACACACACACACACACACACACACACACACACACACACACACACACACCGCTATATAAGTGCAATAATCTTGAACGTGATGTTAAACCCCATTTCACCTCCCCTCACCACACCTGTCTTAGTAACAGAGTAAAACTGTTACTGTCTACAGACTATTGACTGCCCCTTTCATATTAACATGCGTCGATGTCCCTGTTGTTCCAGCACTGATCTGCTGCCGGTGGTGCAGGGGTATGTGGGGAAGTACCTGAGGCTTCAGACAGAGGGGGTGTTCCAGGTGCTTGGGAAGATCCCAGATGTGCACCCCGGGCTGCTGGTGCAGCTGATCCCAGACCTCACCGGTGCCGTCCGAGACCTAGAGAAGAAGCGAGGAGTCGGAGTCGACACATCTCTCAGGTGGGCCGTAAACATACACAATAACATACAGAAAAGTAACAGATTCTGTGAGCCTCTTTCAGAGACATGATTCAGCTTCATGGGCCTCATGGTTCCTTATAGATATGACCAAAATGTATGTTTTGATTGACAGATGTATGAACTGGGGATGAAAGGTGCAGCATGACAATAGCTCACTTGAGATCCTGGGTAGAATTGATCTTCAGCAACCCATGCTTGCCGTAACAGGCGACTATGCTTGTCGTAAGAGGCTTGCTGACTTGGTTGATGCATGTCATCGATCCCAATTGAGTGGATCGATGCTCATGATGTCAATCACTGGATTGTCTGTCCAGACTCGATTATTTACAGACCGCCGTCATAAGCTGGAATATTGCTGAGTGCAGCGTTAAACAACAAACAAACAAACAAAGCACCTGCTCCAGGTGCCGCCAAGTACATAAATCAGGTTGCACTACCAAAATATTGTCTGCACCATATGCATTATATCATATATTGAAAGGTGCATGTGAACAAGGAGAAGGACTTGCATCTGACAGAAGTGTTTCTGTTTCAGGAAGCTGTACATAGATGTTCTGTCCCAGCTGGGAGAAGTACTTGCATCTGACAGAAGTGTTTGTGTTTCAGGAAGCTGTACATAGATGTTCTGTCTCAGCTGGGAGAAGTACTTGCATCTGACAGAAGTGTTTGTGTTTCAGGAAGCTGTACATAGATGTTCTGTCCCAGCTGGGAGAAGTACTTGCATCTGACAGAAGTTTTTGTGTTTCAGGAAGCTGTACATAGATGTTCTGTCCCAGCTGGGAGAAGTACTTGCATCTGACAGAAGTTTTTGTGTTTCAAGAAGCTGTACATAGATGTTCTGTCCCAGCTGGGAGAAGTACTTGCATCTGACAGAAGTTTTTGTGTTTCAAGAAGCTGTACATAGATGTTCTGTCCCAGCTGGGAGAAGTACTTGCATCTGACAGAAGTGTTTGTGTTTCAGGAAGCTGTACATAGATGTTCTGTCCCAGCTGGGAGAAGCTGGTGACATGGAGAAGCAGAGGCTACAGCTGGACCACGTCTAGAACAGCTGGACCACATCTAGAACAGCTGCGCTACATCTAGACCAGGTGCACAATACAATAGCTGGAACATGTATAGACCACATGGAACGGTACCACAGCACACATAGCTCAACAACAGACACTTCAGTCTTTCCTCCAACATCAAGCTGACAGGCTGTGATATAACTGGAATAAAATTCAAAGTGAAACAGACTAACAGAACCCAGAACAGCAGGACCACATCTAGAAAAGCTGGACCACACCTTCAACAGCTGGACCACACCCCTTCAAAAGCTTGACCACACCTTCAACAGCTGGACCACCCCTAACAGCTGGACCACACACCTACAACAGCTGGACCACACCTACAATGGCTGGGCCACACCTACAACAGCTGGACCACACCATCAACAGCTGGACCACACACCTTCAACAGCTGGACCACACCTTCAACATGTGGACCACACACCTTCAACAGCTGGACCACACCTTCAACATGTGGACCACACCATCAACAGCAGAACCACACACCTTCAACAGCTGGGCCACACCATCAACAGCAGGACCGCACATGGAACAGATGTGCCACATCTCTGACAGCTGGGCCACACCATCAACAGCAGGACCGCACATGGAACAGATGTGCCACATCTCTGACAGCTGGGCCACACCATCAACAGCTGGGCCACACATGGAACAGATGTGCCACATCTCTGACAGCTGGGCCACACCATCAACAGCAGGACCGCACATGGAACAGATGTGCCACATCTCTTACAGCTGGGCCACACCATCAACAGCAGGACTGCACATGGAACAGATGTGCCACATCTCTGACAGCTTGTCTTGATGACAGAGTGAATATAAAGCTGCACAATAAGTTCATTATCAGAACTCCCGGCCCAGGCCCAGGTGCTAGGGTTTCTTGAAGTGAGATTTGCTTTAGACAGGACACATGTTAGCCATGATTGTATGTGTTGAAGGTGGGTTTGTTGGTACCAAGAAGGCTGATTGATGATGGATACCCATGCTGATGACGTTTAACCAGTGACCTTGCATGGAATGATAGAGCATCCAATCCAGTCACTGCTCATGAACAATACTATAGCCTGGACATGTGTTGCAATAAAGAAGGACGATCCCGCCAATAAAATAATATTCATTCATCAACTTTGCTGAGACTAAGAGGTAATAAATTAAGCAATTAACCTAACCCTGAGGACAAACCATTTGGTTTTCAATGGAAGGGTTTTCATCTGAGATCAGCATTTAATTTTTTTAAATTTTAATACTCAATTATGTTTCCAACATAAAAGGTGGTCAGTTATTTTGTTGTTGTAAATAGATATAAATAAACCATATTCTTTAGACACTTTAATATAGTTTTCTGTATTCTCCATATTTCAATTCACACCATCTTCTAAAGAAAGCATATTATTGTTTTCCCATAATGTCAGGCATAGGTATAAATGTTTCAGTAAAAAGGTTTTACAAACCACCCACACCCACACCCTCATGAAAATCAAATGTATTTCCCCCATCATGATTGTGCCCTGGGGTACATTGCCAGGAGACTTCATCTACATAGAGGATGCTCACTACTAGCCATTGTCAAACAATTTCAGCAAATTATGATTAGCGACTAAGGGCAGTGTTAGAAATTGGCACTAGTCCTGTAGTCCTTGCCAAACTGCCCAATAGTTAAGGTATCATAAGGACTAGTAGAAATTGGCCATTTTTGAGGGTTTTGCTATGTTATCATTATAAGGACTTGTAGAGTAAAACTGTTAGTTTCTACCGCTGCTAAGGGGATCGGGTGTTCAAGCTCTCTGACTTGGTTGATGCACATCATCCTATGCCAATTGCGTATGTTGATACTCATGGTGTCAATCTCAGCAGACTACTGTCATAATAGCTGGAATATTGCTGGGGCGTCAAACAACAAACAAACAATATACAATTCTACCATAACCTTAAACAAAAATGCTTGATTATGATTGGTTAAAAAGAGGTTATCTTTTCGCAACAGAAACCTCTTTTTGAATATATTAAGCCTTTTCACACACAAAACCGTGCGTATGAATACATTGATAGCCAACGTAGCCATCCATAAATATTTGGCCACATTTCTGCCACATCCCAGTTGGGGGTGGAAAGGGATTACTTTACATTTGTATTATTCACGGGTTTATTGCTAACTGAAAAGACTTACACTTTTGAAAAACGTAGCTGAATGTTAATAAAAAAAGTTATTGGAGAAATAAATTTGTTAAGAATTTTGTAAAACTATTATTATATATTGGTTCACCCCTACACAACTATAGTCAAGTTGTTGGCTGACGTTGCTAAAATTAACAAGCATTCAACCACGACATTGATGAATGCTTGATTCTGATTGGTTAAAAAGAGGTTTCCTTTTTGCTACGGAAACCCCTTTCAAATATGTTAAGCCTTTTCACACACAAAAAAGTGCGCATGAATACATTGATAGCTTACATGTCGATTCATAAAAAGATGGCTGCCGATCGATCACCCCCATATGAACTGTAAAACGTATCTATATTTCCTCCTATTACAAGCCAGGTCTCCGATACACGCCGAGTCGGTCCAACTAAGTAACGCCCTGTGGCGTTCGGGAGAATGATACTTAATAATAAAGTGTATTCTATTTTAATTGTGTTCTTGTATTAATTATAAAAAATAACATATAGCTAGAAACAAATTACATACACCAATATTCTTTTTAAATGGTGAATCTGCGAAGCAAAGACGATTTCATTTTATTCGAACTGAGGTGGTGGTCGTAACTTAATTAGCCTTTGAAGGATACAATGTAAATTTGCTTATGGAACAAAAATAATGTACATTTATAGTGTCATATTCTGTATACTATTAATTTTATAAGAAATATTGAAAGACAGACGTTAACAATTAATAAGAGTAAACTGTACATAAAATAATAAATTTAAAATAATTGTACCTACTGTTGCAAATATTACGAATGCGAATATATAAGCCACACACAAATACATACATGCATATATCGGTACATAAACAATTTACATCAATGCACATATGTGTATACCCATATATGCTTGTACACCTATACCTCTACATACCAGCATATCACACATGCAAACAACTATTTGATTGCTGAATCGTAAAGAAGATTTATTTAAATTTTAAATCTTTTAGATTTTGCAATGAACAGTTGGACAGATTGTACAACAGCAAGGTTAGTATCAGTAGATGTAGCATTTCCATATAATACTGAATCCAAGTCATATCCCTCTATATAGTAGTACATATTGTTCCGAAGATTGCAGTAGTTACGACATGAAAAGAAGTAACATCTAGGATCCTCATAATGATACCCACAGGATCAGTTAGTAGACTCATGAATATGTCTATAATGTTTGTGTGCATTTAAATCACTGCATCCTAATCTGGGGGTGGCCAAGTCGTCTAAGGCGCCGCGATTCGCTGTACGGAGTTGCGTCCCTTAGGGACGCCAGAAACCTATGATTGTGGGTTTGAATCCCGGTTCGCGCTGATTATGTTTCTAGGTGTGTCAGCACCATACCCGTGCTCGTTGGTTTCACCGAAGTGGTAAACGTCTGAGACCTGCATCACTTCGGGCTTTCCTCCCACATTAAGCTGACACGCAGTGATATAACTGGAATAGTGTTAAAAGCGGCGTTAAACCCAACTCACTCACTCACTCACTATCGGCAGATGGACAAAAAGCACCCATGGCACCATCAGGTAAAGGTAATCGTGTCATTGTTTTGCACGCTGCAGCCATGATATGGGGCTTATGGAAGGATGTGTGCTAGTTTTCGATGCGAAAAAGAAAACTGGTGATTTTCATAAGGAAATTATAGGAGTTGATTAGTTTATAGACTGGTTCGAACCTCAGCTATTGCCCAATTAAAACGTCAGTGTCATTGTCATGGATAACGCCAGTTGATATAACGTCTGGGAATCGGATACTGTCGCCCAAACCATGAGTCGTGTAAAGGCTACCATACAGAAATATATGACATTGTCGACTTCAGACCATATGAAACGAAAGTTCAACTCATTGAGAAAATTCGGCTGAATAAGAACCCTGTAAAGTACAGGACATATGTGCTGGCGGCACAACACGGTCACGTTGTCTCACGTACGCCAGTCAGACATTGTGAGCTGAACCCTGTTGTGCCTATCTTGGCTAAGTGTAAAGGGTTCATGGCAAGACTTAACACAACATTCAAAAGTACCGATTCATATACGTCATAAGCGGAGATAAATGCTACCTCAAGAAATCATCTGTAGAGCAACAAATACTTCTGGATTCCAAAACCGCAACCTTCCGATACTCATCCTGTTTCATAGCTCTTAACTAGTTCCATCATGTTTCCAAGTAAATATAATGCAGTACATATCCTAAATTGCTACCCCATCAACGCACAAGTCAATTAAGTACAATAACAGACATATTTTGAGGCCACCCCCAACTCGGTGACATTTGCACCTGGGACGGTGGGAGGCAACCGCCACAGGACAGGTATTAGGTAATTACATCATGTTATAGGCCATTTCATACATGTATGACAACACACGAATATTTTCAAAGTTGATCATCATTTTACCTGTAAAAGTACATGTTAAGGGAAACCACATTTTCAGTTTGGACAGGCTAGATGAGGGCAATTTGAGTTATTTTGATATATGCTCTGTTTATAGTCCTGTGACTCGTATTTATTAAACGAAGCCAGAAAACCAGTTTTCTAGCATTTCCGACAGTACTTTAGTACTTACCACGTTCTATGCAACGTCTCTTCCGTTCAAATTTTTACCCCAATGAAGCGAGATGTAGACGATGGTTTTGACGGAATCTGTCGTACAGGCCGTAACTGTCATTCGGAATACCCTGTGTTAACCTTTTCGAGTTTGCATGATTAGAAAACACATTCCGACTGTCACTTTCCTGCTCTGGTAAGTGACGCTCTGATTGGTCGGATAAGAGGTCGTTCTGACGTGACCCGGAATGGGATGTCCTCAAATCTTTGTTTAGCAATAGAAAGAACTCTGATCTGATTTCACAAAAAGTTTATAATTGATGCATAAGTGTTTCAGAAGGCAGGTTCAGAGAAGTCTTTGGGGCAAAAACGGTGGAATAATAATAATAATAATTAAAGCTGCAAGCAGCAATGGCGGGCTCCAAGTAACACTGTGCACAAACGTCCATGTTCGAATCCTCAAAGGGTTTCCTTGAACCAAATCAGTCAAATGTAGTCACCACTTGCAGGGTATTGTCGCAAGGAAATTGGCGTGTGCCAGGGTGTCCACGTCTGTTCTAAAACCATTTCCGACCTCGAACATGTTCGAATCCAAAAAGGGTTTGCTTGTACCAACTCTGTCAAAAGATGTCACCGGAAATCGCCGCTACGAAATTGATCAAATATTACCACCAAGCGGTGTTACTTTTAGCATACAACTAAAAACAATAAATGAGATGCATATGGCACACTAACTTCATGTAAACTTGCAATAGTTTCTGTAGAGAACCTTACAAGATATGATCTTTAAAACAAAATTTCGTTGAAAAAAATGATCAAAATCAAAATTCAATACGGCCGTAACTAAACATGAATTCCAAAATCGTCTATTTAAGTTTGATGTGTTATGCATGGAGACGATTATCAGAAAGTTTGAAAGCATTTCATGCAGTGGACTCGGAGTTGTTTGCGTTTAAAGACAGGTACCCAAAAAACACTGTGGAAACCTTGAATCCAAAATGGCTGCCAAACCACGTGACCAATGACCAAAGTCGAAGAACAAAAAATGAGGTACATATAGCACACTAACTTCATGTAAAACTATCAATAGTTTCTGTGGAGAACTTTACAAGATATGATATTTATAGTAAAATTTCGATGACAAAAAATGATCAAAATCAAAATCCAATCTGGCCGCAACTATAAAAGATATCCAAAATCGGCTATTAACGTTTAATGTGTTATGTGTGGAGACCATTCTCAGAAAGTTTGAAAGCATTTCATGCAGTGGACTCAAAGTTGTTCGCATTTGAAGACAGGTACCCAAAAAACACTGTGAAAACCTTGAATCCAATATGGCTGCCAAACCACGTGACCAATGACCAAAGTCAAAGAACAAAAAATGTCAAGCAGCTCAAGCAGCAGATGCATGCAAGGTTTCAAAGTAATCGGATAAGCGGTTGCGGAGCAATAGGGTGGAATACATCTTCAAAATATTGTGTTCTTTTAGTTATCTGCCCTTGGCCTTTGGGCCTACAGCCTTGGGTTTTTGGCGGGCACTAGTACCCACCGGTCCACATACACACACACAACTTGAACAAAATCGAGCCAGTGGTTATTTTTCTAGCTCTGGTACAAAAATTGGCGGAATAATAATAATATTAAATCAAACGCTAACACTGGGACTCTTCAGCCTTTCGGCTTGGTGACTCTTTAACAGGCTGTAACTTCTTTGTCAGTTGGGCTCCAGTCAAACGGATTATGTCTGCGTTCGATCAGGCCCCGGGTTCCTGTCGCATTGCTGAGATAAAGTGCTAAACCTGTTTCCCACCTCGTTCATATATACGAACCCTCAAAGGGTTTACCTGTACCAACGCCGTCAAATGTAAAGAACCTCTTGTGAGACATCACCACTACTAAATTGACATGTGCCTGGGTGCCCCAGGATGTTTTAACCAATTTCCAACTTCGACCATGTTCGAATCCTCAAATGGTTTGCTTGTACCAACGCAATCAAATGTAATGAACCGCTGGTGAGACATCACCACATGTGTCCCAGTGTGTTCTTAACCCACGTTTGACTTCGACCATGTTCGAATCCCCAAATGGTTTGGTTGTACCAACGCCTTTAAATGTAATAAACCGCTTGTGAGACATCATGACATGTGTCCCAGTGTGTTCTTAACCCATGTTTGACTTCGACCATGTTCGAGTCCCGAAATGGTTTGCTTGTACCAATGCCGTTAAATGTAATAAACCGCTTGTGAGACATCATGACATGTGTCCCAGTGTATTCTTAACCAATGTTTGACTTCGACCATGTTCGAATCCGCACATGGTTTGCTTGTACCAACTCCATCAAAAGATAGTCCATGTTTGCAGGACATTGCCGCTACCAAATTGGCGTGTGCCACAGTTTTCCAGAGTGGACTAAATGCCGACCTCCATATTCTAATCTGCAAATGGTTTGCAAATGGTGTGCTTTTAACAACGCTGTTAAAAATAAGGTACCGTAGCAATTGACAATTGAGAAATGAAGAATCAAGTCAGCAAGTCTGATCACCCAATCCCATCAGTCGCCTCCTGTGACAAGCATAGTTGCCTCTTGAGACAAGCATCGGTTGAAAAAGGCCAATTCTAACTCTGGTCGTCAAGGGTAGTACACATAATATTGAACAAGGCTGTGGAGAACGCTAGGGTATCTGCAAAGCCAGTGAATGGGGGTTTATAGTAGATTTATGAGGCGCTTCCTTCAGTATTTGTACTTGGGTGAAAAAAATTCTCAAAATCAAAATCAAATATGGCCGCAACTACAAAAGATATAAAAAAACGGCTATGCTAATTTGTTGTGTTCTGTATGGAGACAATTTTCAGAAAGTTTGAAATCATTTCATGCAGGGGATTCAGAGAAGATAGTATTTGAAGACAGGTGCCCAAAAAACCCTGTCAAAACCTTGAATCCAATATGGCTGCCAAACCACGTGACCAATGACCAAAGTCAAAGAACAAAAATTATCAAGCAACTGCAGCAGTAGATACATGCAAGGTTTGAAAGTAAACGGGCAAACGGTTGTAGAGCAACAGGGCAAAATATATCGTCAAAAAATACTTGTTTTTCAGTTATCTGCCCTTGGCCTTTGGGCCTACGGCCTTGGCTTTCTGGCGGGCACTAGTACCCAACGGTCTACAAACACACAAAAAATTTGAACAAAGTCGAGCTAGTGGTTATTTTGCTAGGGCAGGTACAAAAATCGGCGGAATAATAAATAATAATAATAAATAATAATAATAATAATAAATCGAACGATTACAATAGGGCTCTACAGCCTTTCGGCTTGGAGCCCTAATAATAATAATAATAATAATAATTACAACAACAACAGTAAGAGGAAAATTTTGAGTTCAGAGCTGAACGCTCGCAACAAAGTTAAAGCCACAAATACTTATACTGTACTCGTCCTTTCGTATTTTTTTGGTGTTGTTGATTGGACGAAACAAGAAATTCTGGGTACCCTCACACGAAGAATCATGTCAGACAATAGATCCCATCACCTTCGCTCTTCCCTCAATCGTTTGTATTTACCAATCATAATAGGAGGGCGTTTTTTAACATGGAGGGTCTTCGTGATAGACTTGTATTGTGCACTTTTGCGCACAACTATTTGTCTGATGATCCTCGAGGGACGGTTTCGCCTTCACCCATAGCAACATCGTAAACAACCTGAACCCCCGTTACACAGACAGCCGCTCTCACCACTGCAGGTAACGTTTTCAATAACTCGTCATTTTAATTTATTCGAGATCTATTAAGACATCCTTCTCGGTTATAATTAACCTCAGTTCTTCAAATATATGTGTCTCCGTGATTATCGATTTCTGTTTTAAATTTCACAATGCTGTGATTCGGCGGTGGTTGGGTTGATGACTTTCTTCAGGTGTAGTTAATTACATTAAGTAATACGTTACCACTGTTATACCGAGGCTGTTGTCTCCCACAACTGCTGCTATAGCGAAATCTACCACAGAGATCTCAATTACCTCATGCAGCACGTGCGTAGCCACCAAGCTGCCATGTGACCCCCTTCACTCTTGTCTCTTCGCTTGCTCTAGTAAGACGTACAATAAACTGCTCAAGCGTTCCTGTTTCTCCGACTATTCGGTGATATTTATTACTGTTTATTCTCTCTAATAAACTGTGCTTTTACGGGGCGTTTGCTGTAACTACGCTTGGAAATATTTTCCCGCCAAAAGGAAATATTCCCCCCCCCCCCTTTTTTCTATATACTTGCGGGGTGTCTCGTATGCACGTTGCGTCTTACGTTCCCCTGTTCTAGTATATCTTGGGTTTTTTACATCACTTATACCTCTAAATGTTATATGTGTATGTTCTATATTCGCATTGCTCGTTTATTTTCTGGTGAAAATACTCGTTTGTGACTATTTGTGGTGCGTGTGTTGTAACAATGTTTTGCTCTTTGTTCATAGTACAAACAAAATGTCTGACATGGATGTTTCGCCGTCCTCCACCCCCTCTACCCCCGCAACCAGGAGCTGCGGGGTGTGCCGCAAGCGAGCGCTACCGGCTGTATGTGCAGTCCGTTTCCACCCCTGTGGTGGCCGGCTCGTCCGGTCGGGGTCCCCTTGCGGGTACCACCACCACGGCTGCGGCGGATCCCTTGGCGGCCCGTGGGCTGTCCGGGGATTCCGTCGCTGCATTACTTGCATAACTTGTGGACTCCAAGCTGGCGGCCTTATCTCAGGATAGGCCGCTGGCTGTTCCGTCCCCGGCCAGTTCGGTGGCCGCGGGGTCCACCGGTACGGCGGCAGCTCCCGTGGTCACCGGTCCTTCCCCAGAACCGTTGCTCCCGCTATCGGTTAAGGACCGCGTGGCCATGGTTTATGACCTCTTTGAGGACATGCCACTCTGTGGGTTCCTCCGAGGTATACGATGAGTCTTCCGACACGGCTTTCCCCGCATCAACCTTGCTGCGCGGTATCAAGGCTTCCTTGGAGAACGCCTTCGCGGCGGCCTCCGGTCGGGGTCTCCCGTTGCCTCCGACGTCGTGGAGAAAGGGTTTATTCCCGGTACATGACCTTGCCTTTCCCGAGGCTGGTCCTACCGCGGTGGCCCATGTTGAGCGGTTGGGTGTCCGTGCCCCAGCAGCTGCTACGGTAACGCAAGCTACCTTGCACCAGCTGGACGCCCTCGCTCGGCACTCCATGCTTGCCATGTCTCCCGGAGACACTTACTTGGCTGCAGCGGCCAGTCTGGTCGAAGGTTCTCCCACAGACCGTGACCAGCGCATTTACAACTGCCTGCTCAGTTTAAATGCTTCCCTGGAGTACGTTGCCGAGGACTCTCGGCACACACTTGCTCTGCGTCCCTGCATAGGCGCCGGTAGGTCTAAGGGGTCGGGTTCTTCTTCCTCTGGGAAGAAGCCCCGCCCTGAGGGCTCCGGTATGGGCAATCAGCTGCCCTTTCGCGGGAAGACGGGGAACTGGGGGAAGCCCAAGTCGTCTAAGGATGGCAAGGGCCCCTCCAGGTGACTCTCATTGGAGGGGTTCGTATGCCGACAGCGCCAACTTCGGTTGGCCCTTAGGCGAACCCGAGTCACTTGGCCCTGGACAGTTGCGCCTGCCGCAGCCTGTCAGGGCCCCCTCTCCTTCCCCAGTGGGAGCCAGACTCCAGACTTACTGGAACAATTGGGAACAAGTGTTCGACCACCCGTGGGTGGTCAACACGATTCGGTACGGCTATCGGCTAGATCTCAAAGCGAATCCGCCACTCACCGTTGCCCCGTTGGCAGGTTTCGATTCGGAAACCGATCTTCCCATCCTCGCCGATGCCATCGGCAGGTTGGTGGAGAAGGGGCAGTTCGGGAGTTAGCTTTACCAGGAATAACACCGGGGTTTTACTGCAGGATATTTCTCGTTCCCAAGAAGGACAGTGCCGAACTCAGAATGATTCACAACTTGAAATCGTTCAACGAGTTCTACCTGCGCAAGCCGCCCAAGTTCAGAATGTTGAGCTTGGCGGACCTGTAAGCACTGATCATGCCGGCCGACTGGCTCGCTTCGATCGACCTGAAGGATGCTTATCTGCATGTTCCGATTCACCCGGATCATCACAAGTATCTCAGGTTTGTCTTTCAAGGCAGGCACTACGAATGGGTTGTACTCCCATTCGGTCTTTCATCCGCTCCCTGGCTGTTCACCCGGTTAACCACCCCCCATTGTGAGGGGGGGTGTCCGGTACTTCGCGTGCCTGGACGACTCGCTAGTAGCAAATCGAATGACGGACACCCTGTCACGCCAACTCGTTTTCGCACGTCGGCTCTTGGAGCAATTGGGGTGGATTATCAATCTCCCCAAGAGCGAGTTAACCCCTTCTCAGAACTTGCAGTTCATCGAAGGCCGGTTCAACACGGTGTTCTATCGCCTCTTTGTCCCCCCAGACCGGTGGCACAAGATTCAGGCGATGATTGCCAAAGTCTTAGCGGTGCAACAGATTGTTCACTTTTGGGAACAGCTGTTAGGGCTACTTGTATCAGCCCAGGTCTGCACCGAATGGGGTCGTCTCCAACTCCGCCCGCTGCAACGGTTTTTAATCCAGTTGTTAGCAACAGAGGTGAACAGTGCGACCGTCGCCCTCCCGGATCGGCTCCGACCGCATCTGGAGTGGTGGACGGTCCCTTACAATGTCTTATCAGGAGTCTCTATGCGGCCCTACCGGGCCACGTTGACCCTGTATACAGACGCCTCTCTAGTGGGCTGGGGCGCCCATCTAGAGGGGGAGGTGAGCTCGGGGCTGTGGTGCGTAGACGAACTAGGTCTTCACATCAATTGTCTCGAGTTCAAGGCAGTGATCAACGCAGTCAATCACTGGAAGCATCGTCTCGTCGACGCCCGGCTCATGCTGGCGACCGACAACACGACGGTAGTGTCCTATGTGAACAAACTGGGGGGAACCCACAGTCACTCGCTACTCGATCTCACGTTCGAGTTTTACGCTCTGGTGGACAGTGTCCCGTGCCAGATACGCGCCAGTCACATCCCAGGTGTGCGGAACGTACTGGCCGACGCTCTATCGAGGCCTCAGGATCCGAGCCCCACAGAGTGGATGCTGAACCCAGTAGTGTTTCAGTGGCTGTGCGAACGTTTGGGTCGTCCGATGGTCGACCTGTTCGCAACGCGGTTCAACAATCAACTCCCGTTGTTTGTATCACCAGTCCCGGACCCGAGGGCCATCGATCACGATGCTCTCGCGTTAGACTGGACGGGCTTGGACGCTTATGCTTACCCGCCGACAGCGTTGATACCACACATTCTAAGCCGGCTCTGAGGAGTTCGCTGTCGAATGTTACTGATCGCGCCCATGTGGTCGAACAGATCGTGGTACCCCGACTTGCTGACCCAGGTCACGCAGTCGCCACTTCCACTGCCTGTGAGACCGGGTCTCTTGATCCACCCTCACACCCGTCAGCTTCATCCAAACGCAGGGCAGTTCAATCTGCACGCGTGGATGTTGTCACCGAGCGTCTGAGGGGTAAAGGTTTTTCTCGCCGGGCGTCTCGGACATACGTTAGTATGCATCGTGATTCTACCCAGAAGGTGTATGATGCACGTTGGGTTATTTTCACGAAGTGGTGTTGTAAACATCACATTCATTCGCAAGATAAGGTATCTGTGCAGGATATTGCTCACTTGCGAGAGACCCGGAAACTCTCCGGGGGTTCCATTGCCAACTATGTCTCGTCCGTTGCTACGGTACGGGACGTTGCTATGGTTGCCAGTCTCTCCAAAGAGCCGGTGATACGGGGTATTATCAAGGGTTTCAAACAGCACGATCTTAAGAAGGGCCGCCTTCGGGCACCGGCCTGGGATCTTTCCCTAGTGTTGCAATCACTTACGGAAGCTCCGTATGAACCCTTGCATAGTGCTTCGTTCCGGCATGTGACTTGGAAAACAGCATTTCTCCTCTCCTTTGCCACGGCGGCACGTGTATCCGAAATTCATGCACTCGATGTCGCCAAGGTACGATTCGATAGGGGTGACGAAGGAGCGGTCCGCCTGGGCCTGCTCATGGGCTTCCTCGCCAAGAATCAGAGAATCGGGCAAACGGAGAGAGAATTCACTGTAAGATCACTCAAAGAAATCTTACATCCTGCTGATACTGAGGACAGAGCGCTGTGTCCGGTTAGGGCCCTTAAGTATTATCTTAAGGCTTCGAATGAACGTAGACAAGGGCGTGACCGTCTGTTCATATCGTGTAACCCTAATCGCACGGTTGACATAACTCGCAACTCGATTGCGTTGTGGCTTCGTTCTGTCATCAATCTGGCGTACCGGTCTCGGGGGTTACCGGTAGCGGGGTCAAACCCGCACGAGATCAGGGCGCTAGCGGCAACATTTGCCCTACACTCGAATATCTCTGTTCGCAGAATATTCCGAGGTTGTTACTGGCGTTCTGACTCGGTTTTTGCCAATCATTACCTCAAACAGGTCGCTGATGCCGTCGTGGAGAGTGTGCACCGTCTTGGCCCGCGGATCGCGGCGCAAGCGGGCACCAAAGGGCTGTGCCCAGCGCAATTCCGAATTCCTCAGGCGTCAGACCTTGCACGGTGGTCAATCTGGGTCGACTCCAATGTTCCCACTGCCGTGGGTACAGGAGTTGGGGTCCCGCAAACCAGCGCACTTACACCACAGATGAGGGCGGCTTTTTGTGTGCTTTGTCCTTATTTGTATTTTGACAATTATGTATT